ATGTATTATTTTACGGTATTAAACATTGAAATACGTATTGAGAAAAGGACAGAAGAAAACGCTATCTTTTCAATATACTTTTGAATGAGAGTGATAAGTAATAATTGCCTTATCTAATTTCTTATCATGGTATTAATGCCAAGTTTGTAATATATACACTAGGGTGGCCCTCAAAAATCGATTGTCTTTTTTTTTTACGCTACCCCTTAATTTTTTTTTAATGGTCAAAAAAATGTGCTGTGCAAAATTTGGGACCGATCCGTCAAGGTTAACCTGTGCCCCGGGCCTATTAAGTTGAGTCGAAGAGTCAAATTTAATAGAAATAACTGATCTATGTCTCATAACTTTTTTTTCTCTTAACTTAGAATAATAAAAGTAAAACTCAAGTAAAGGAAATTTTACAAGAAATTCAAAAATAATAACTTCAATGTTGTTTTCTCAATAAATAGNTAACACGGGTTAAAAAAAAAGACATTCGATTTTTGAGGGCCACCCTAGTGTATACATTACAAACTTGGCATTAATACCATGATAAGAAATTAGATAAGGCAATTATTACTTATCACTCTCATTCAAAAGTATATTGAAAAGATAGCGTTTTCTTCTGTCCTTTTCTCAATACGTATTTCAATGTTTAATACCGTAAAATAGTACATTAAAATTGAAATTTTCACAAACTTCAAAACGCTACAGAATATTTACTACTGAATATTAATAAGATATTTTTTTACTAAAATTTTTCTTAAATTCTACTCTACAAAACAGCTATCTTAGATTTATGAATGTGTTAAAACTTTCATGGATTGTTTTGTTGCTTGAAGTGCTTGAGGATATATCCATGTTTACAGTTGAGTTCTGACGTTTCGGACTCATTGCAGAGTCCATCTTCAGAGTGATGGTTGCTAGTCGGTGGCTGCAACTATACTGTATATTACAAAATAGCTATCTTAGATTTTTTTTTTACATTTTATTTAAAATTTAAAAATAATTAATATTTTTAATAAAATGTAAAAAAATTAATTATTGAGATATAGCTATAGACCTAACGTATAACTATTATTTAAAAAAAAATCAACTAAAAATATTAACTGGATCAAAAGTTATTTAAGTTGTCAGTGAGTAGTGGGCCACCCTGTATACTCAATAAACTGATCAACCTTAATTATGGAAATAGTATAGGGAGAAAAAGTACCTACCCAATTTTTCAATATTTATAATATTAATTTATTTAATTATTTTTGTGTAACTAAATAAGGTTATTAGATTAAGTTTCGAGTTTTTTTAATTTACTTACCTTAATGCCTTCTAAAAGTATTAATTGATTTTGGTCATAAAATGTTACTTCTTTCTTATTACCCTCGATTAATAAAAAATAACGAGGTTCTTTGGTTAAATCCTTTAATATGTATATAAATAGTATCAAATATTGATTTTAAATAACATTTTAAATGGATACCAATTATCTTACAGACTTATCTATAGACCATCCCACTATTATTGCTAAATTGACATCCAATGTTACTACTACATCCCCAACTCTGTACCTTAAATGTGGGGGTCTAAATTCATGAATTTCGGCGCTATTTATATTTTCATCTTCGCTTTCGTTGTCGTCTTTTATCGTGTCCGAATAATCAAATATACTCCAAAAAATAGCCCCTATGATAATTCAAATATGGCGTGAAAAAAATGATTTCATAACATTGTACTGAGCTGCATAATTTGAAATTTATACACAGGTTCATTGAAATTACACATTTATTATTGTTAAAACTTTTGTAATTAAGAGGTCTTTGTTAATTTTGGAGTGTGTGAGTCAATTTTAAGTAAAATGAGTTAGAATTAAAAATTAATAATTTATTTTTATTAATCTTTTTCAGCAACGTTAAAAAAAATTATTCTATGAAGCATATCTGCATGTCTGCGTGACTATTTTATTAAAATATTTCAAACGATTCTCCAGAAAAATAATTAAAATTGACTTACACTATTTTCGTTTTAACCCACATATTAATCTAAATGGTCTTAGGGTCGTATTTATAGTTGATTCTTACATATAAGTTTTGCTTAAGTTAGTCTTAAGCATGTTATTTAGATTGCTTAAATACAACAACTTATTCATAAAAATTACTATAAATATGGCCTTTAATCTTTGAAGGAAATTTTAATTATGTGTGAGAGTTTTCCAATTTTAACTAAACTAAAAATACTACTAATACATAATGAAAAAAAAGGACCAAATCATATTTAGCGTATAGTACTTTTAATATAATAGCTAATAACCTTATTTTGAAAAGTAAGGTTATTTCGTGTAACCATTTAAGCCCTTTACAACTGAATCACTATACAATAGTAAACTTATCGGTAAAGAGGGAAAATTTTCGATTTAATATATCATTGATATAGAAAAATTAAAATTGAATAACTAACCACTCACTTGACACCTTTTTAGCAAAACTCCGTCATTCATTATAGATTTATAAAAATTAACTTACTTGGATCTATGTAGTCCACTATGTAATCACTTAAATAGAATTCATCGGGTAAACTTTGATAAACATTGGAAAAAAATTGTATAATTTCTCGGTTATACTTCAATAAGAGTAATTGTAAAGGAACTGAAGAAAGTAAAATTGCTATTGAAATAACCTGTCTGAACTCCATTACATCACTATTTATAATTTTTATGCAATAATTATTAATATAAATAATTCTAATATTTAGATCAGTTGTAATACGAATATTTTCCAATCAACTAATATAGTAAGTAGTGGACAGTTTTTAAAAATACAATTATCTAAATACAATACATATTACTAAAGATGCTTACGTATAATATATAGGTTATGAATATTTTTAAAATATTCGACTTTACTATTCTAGAATACACACAGATGTTAAAGCATATGGCACTTGGATCATTGATTATGCCTGATTTTTATCAAATTAATATCTTTATAGAGGGGCATTGACAATTCTTACAACTTTTAATACAATTAAAATTTTTCTGTAAATTAAATTTTTTTATTTACAAATTTTTGAATTTTTGAATGTTGATATTTTTTATTATTTGTATCAGAGACTAGAACGAATCTAAAAAAAAACGGTTTTTTAACCGAAACCTTTAGATAGCCGAGAATCAGAACCCAATTGGAACCTTTAATATTAAAGATGTGTTTAAATGGTTCTAAGGAGTCGAGCAGTATTTATTCGTGTAATTTTTAACAAAGTTTTGTATTTTTGATAACTAGTGAGAATGGTAAGATTTTGGTAAGAAATAGTAAAAGCTTTAATATAGTTGGACAAAGCAAAATTTATTAACTAATCAGGAATTCTAAAATGTTTGTTGCCCACAAAATATTATATTTTTACTTCTAAAATGGAATGATTATATATAAAACTTAATAAACATAATTATTGGCTATTTGTTTACTATAGGTCTCTAAATTATTATTTAGTAATTTTGAGTACATAAATAGAAGTTAAAGTAATATTTATATTTGACAATAGACCTTTGAATCCTATATCTGCTATTTTCTGAGACTTAAATTGACTCTAAATTTAATAATTTTAATTAAATTTTAACAATTTGGATAGAACCTTTATTTTTGGAAACCGGAACCTAAAAAAATATGGTTCCAGTCTCAGATTTGTATTTAATTAAATTTTTTTTCTTCAAAATTTCTAAATAGAGTTTTTAGCTTTTTTTGTACAAAAATGATTAATGGATCAATAACGACTTTAGGACGTATAATTATAGAGTTACAAACATGTTAATACATAGAGTAGATAGTATAGGGAGTGGAGTATTCTTATACTTATTAATATATGCTTATACTTAATATAAGTATAAGTATAATATATACTAACTGCGCTACATATCCATTATATGTATTAAAATGTTTGTAACTCAATAAATATTAAAATTTTTTGTAAGGAAATCTCTAAAAAATGCTATAATGAATAAAGTAAATATTCGGACATTACATAGAAAAAATAATTTGCCTGTTACCATCGTCTTATTAGTATTGTTTAATCACAAGTTCAAACATTTATCTAATGGTGTTGATCATACATAAAGATTCGAAAGGCGAATTCAATTTCTGGTCAGTTTTCTTGACTAACTGTATAATTAAATTTTGAAGAAATGAAAGAAATAAAAAATAATTTTTATTTATTATTAAAATCAAATAATGCTTTTAATGTAGTCTAAGAATGCATAAATATAAAAAAAAATTAAACGTAATAATTTCATTGCATTTTAAAGATTTTGTAACACCACAAAATATATGAACTAACATTAGCATAGTTTTCATAAAAGCTCAAGTTCTTAAAGATGCTTTGGTAGCTCCTTAAATATACATTTTTTTAAATTTGGTATGCAAATAAATATTGATTACTTAACCTTTAATTATTAATTATAAAATTTTATTAACAATAATGTATTAATAATAATTAATAATAGGAATTTTAATAAAAAAAGAGTTACATAACATTAAGTTCTATGTGTTCGTTAATTTTTTTAACGTTTTCTATAATTTAAGTTCCCGTATGGTTTAAGGCATCATTTCAGATCACGATAGACTAGGACAAACATTTCACAATGCCACTGGATTTACGAAAACATATTTCGTAAATATCGTCTTTATAAAATATCGATAAACCTTATCACCCCTTCCAAAAGTATGCCTCTACGCCAAATGAAATCTTCGACATTTATTTTTATAAATACTTTATATATACATCTTTCACCCGCATATCCTTTTTTTTTAAATCGGACTATTTACTTTTGTTAGGAAGGGGCTCAAAATTTAAAAAATATGAGTAAAAAGTAGAACATTTTTCACTTAAGCTTTGAAAATGTTCTGAATAAAAATGAAATACTTCATACTCCGAACACATGTTAAAATAAAGTTTATATTATGTACTTATAAGTTAAAAAAAAAAATTTGCCTCAATAACTTTTATCTTCTATCTGTAAATGGCTGACGTAGTTAAAAACATACTATTTACTGAAAAGTTATGCATCAAGACCTTAAATTTTTATAGAAGTAACGAAGTATATAACTACTTTATAATTTTTTTATAAAATTTACAATATTAAATTATTGAATATCAATTTCATACTATAATTTATTATTACAATAAAACTCTAAATTACTTTTTATTCATATATTAAACTTATAAATCAAAGAATTACTAATCAGGATATGAGTTGATGATGTTTTTAGAATAATCCACCAATTTCTTAAAATTATATACCAAGTACACGTTTGCATTGAAGCGTTTTTTATGATAGAGATTTTAATCACTGTCAGATATATTATGTGTACCCCCACTGTGCTGAGTTTTTTTTTAATTCTAAATTAATGTTTATAAACCTTAGCTAATGAAATCATTATAGTTAATTCAATTTAATGTTTTATATAAATTTTTTTTAATGGCTGGATGGAGTCTAAGTTGCATTCTTCAAAAATATATTTGTTATTAATAAAATGANATGGCTGGATGGAGTCTAAGTTGCATTCTTCAAAAATATATTTGTTATTAATAAAATGAATATATATTTTTTTGATTAAACAACTGAATAGATAATATCTTATCTATTCTGTGATATAACCAACAAATATATGAAATATCCAGTAACAATAATTATTATCATTATTTCCAACAATATAATTAATAATATGTAGATGTCAATAAGAATTTTTTCTTATTTGATTAATTTATCAAGTAAATGTAACATAAATAGTATCACAATGTTTAAGATAATTGACTAAAATTTACAAATGTTTAACAAAAAAATATGAACCGAGTTGATAAAATTTAATTTATTAATTGGTATATTAAAATTATGTGGACTATATTTTCTAGAGATTCTTCGAAAGACTTTCCTTTTGAAATCATTGGATCTTTAAACTATCGATTTAATGAAAAAAGTTTATGGAAATTAAATAAAGGGAAAAAAAAGGTATTTCAAATATGTAAATTTTTTATAGTTTGAAACATTAGATGCTAGTGAATTTCTTAAAATAGTCTTAAATAATCATATTATTTAATATTCATAAAGTTATAATTTAAAAAGACATCTTTTGAATTAAATTCATTTTTTTGTCTATACTTCTATAATTTGGTTTTTTTTTTTATTATAGGGTACTAATAATGATGTGTCAATTTTCGAATTTTCAATTCATGATGATATTCCTGGAGGAGAAACACGTTCACTTCTTTCAAAATGTGGAGTTAAACACTTAAAAACTTTAAAACATCCTAATATTCTTACATTCTTAGAAAGTGTTGAAGTAAGTTAAACAAAATTGAAAAAATTATTCATTTCAATTTCAGCTTTGATTTGTAGCTGTAAAGCTATTAGTTTTGCTCTGCCATAAATTTTTTTTTTTCGTATTACTACACCATTACTCTTACTCCTACTAGACTAATTTTGCACAACATAAAAAGATCAGTAAATATATCTAGTTGAAGCTGTCATTGCCAGTTTTGAAAAATTCCCTTCAGTGCTTGTAATAAAGAAAAATAATCCAATAAATTACAGTTATCATTAAATGGTCAATGTTGATATTTATAGTTTTCCAAGAAATATAATTTATACTATTAGTTTTATTTGTTATTTTATCTATATGTTTACATACTACTATAATACAATACAATAATAATTCTATCAAATATTTATGATTGAAATTTGTGTAGGTTAAAACTTCTATATATTTAGCGACTGAGTATGTTGAACCACTGGAATCATTTATTTCATCTCAGAGTGACTTGCAAGCATTAATTATGAAGCAGTATGTTGCTTGGGGCATTTCTAATATAATAGTAACAATATTTTTATTTGAATATTTTTTAACAATTGAATAGAATTTTTATTAATTATTTATTAGGAAGGTTTAAAATTTTTGAATTTTGAAGCAAAATTATGTCATAACAAAGTTTGTATTTGGTCAATTTTTGTTAATAAAGCTGGACAATGGAAGTTAGGTGAAATGGAATGTATGAACACAGTTGATAATTCTCCTCCGCCTTTTATTTTGGACTTATACCGGGTTCCTGGAAATCGGCAATCACCCTTGTAAGATTTCGTTATTTTTTATTTTCGTTTATTTTAAAATAGTTCATTAGTATTGCTTGGTATTTTTTAGTTCTATTGATGTATGGGGTTTAGGTGTTCTTATTTGGGAAATTTTTAATGGACCTTTATCACATCAGTCTGATTTAAAGGATACAACTAAAGTAAAAAAAATATAATATTTTTATTTTTATTATTTTAATATATTTGTATTTTAGATTCCAAAAGAGGTCATAAAAATTTATTCAAAACTGATAGCAATAGAACCTATGGGTCGTCCATCATATGATAACATTATAAAAGTACTTCAAGACCAAGGGTATTTTGGCAATGATTTAGAAAAAACCATGACTGCTTTAAATCAATATCATTTATTAGATGATATAAATAGAGCATCATTACTAGAGAAATTACCCAGTATGCTAGAAAATTTTCCAAAAAATATTGCCCAATTTAATGTACTTCCAAACCTTCTTGAAATGTTTAAATATGTTAAAGAGCAAAAAGTTATATTTCCTTCAATGTTAAAGGTAATTTCATATTACAATAGATCAATTTTACTTATTTGCATAAGTAGTGTTAAGAATTCTTAACACATATATTTTTATAAAATTGTAATTAATAGAATTCTCAGGTAAACTAAAATAGCTACAATTCTAATGTCCTTGCTAAAACATACATTAAAAAACAAAAATATTAAGTAACAATCCTTTTGGTAATAGTAAGTTACTGATTGAAAAATCCCAGATACTTCACTAATCATAATAATTTATTATTATTTTATTCAATGTAGCATTTTTTAAATGATTCTATAGTTTCAAAATATTAATATTCTATAAAATATTTTAGTCAATAATTTTATTTTTTTATTTATAGGATACAAATTTAATAATAGTTTATATTTGTAATTTTATCTGTCTATGTACATTTATATATCTTATTTATAAATGTTAATGATAGTCATATAATCAAAGAATTTGTAATTCTAATAATCTAATAATTCTAATAATCTAATAATTCTAATAAATAATTGACAACTTAAGATAACATTAGTGAAAATCCAAAAATAACTGTAGAAGTTATAAAACCATTTTTTGTTAATATTTCGATAAATTATAAATGTTTTTTTAAAATTGTAATTGTTATTAATGAGTGTAGATTTATTTTGGTTTTATTGTTTATTTAATAGAGATACTAATATAATTCTGTGCTTCAAATTATATTTATTTTTTTATATTTAATTTTCTTTTAGTTAAGTATAATGCTTGAAGATCTAGAGTTCGAAGAAAAAATAGTACCATGCATAATTAAATTATATGAATCTAATGATCGTTCTACTAGAGTTATGTTATTGAATCATATTGAACTTTATGCTAGTAAGATAATTAATTTTAATTTAATTATTTCTTTATATTGAAAATAAATTTTAGGTCGATTAAAATCTGATGTCCTAAATACAAATATATTTCCATTATTAGTAAGTGGATTAGCAGATGCAAGTCCTACTATTAGAGAGCTAACTGTTAGAGTAAGTATTTGATAACATTGGTATAATTTTCGGTTAACAAATGTTTAAATATATATTGTTTTAATACTACAATAATAAATTTTAGAGTAACTATATTTTTGTTTCCTTTTTCTTTTTTTAGAGCATGATCCACATTGCTTCAAAATTGAATCACAATAATTTAAATGTTGAATTAATGAGACACTTTGCAAGATTACAAATGAAAGATGACCAAGTATAAATATTTTATTGTAGTACATTTTAATAATATTATTAAACTGAAATTAAAATATACTTTAGGGTAGTATAAGAACCAATACTACTGTATGTTTAGGAAAAATTGCTCAACATTTGGATCCAAAAATTAGGAGCAAAATACTTGCATCTGCATTTTCTCGAGCACTTAAAGATCCTTTTCCTCCATCTAGAATAGCAGGTTATAAAATAAAGTTGTTATAGTTACTATATTTAATTTTTTTTATAAATATATTCTTGGTAACAATGGCCATTAGCTATTTAATTTTTATAATTATCTTTGTATTTTATTCTTTTTCTCTACTAGGTGTATCGGCATTTTCTGCAACACAACAATATTATCCTCTAATTGAGGTATCTAGTCGTGTATTGCCAACATTATGTCTTATTACGTTAGATCCCGAGAAAAATGTGAGGGACATAGTTTTTCAAACAATCAAAGGATTTTTGGGTAAACTTGAAAATGTTTCAGAAGATGAAAGGCTTAAAGAAAAAATTGGTATAGTTTTAATAGTGTAATATTTATAAACTGTAAATAGTAATAAATATGATCAAACAGATGAAGAAATTTCTACAAATACAGTTCCTGCAGTTTCTTCGTGGGCTGGTTGGGCTGTAAACACTGTTACATCCAAGTTTTATTTAGCTTCTAAAAATCTCCAAAAAGATGATAAACTATCTGAACATCCCAAAGGTAACCAACATGTTTTTATCATATTTAAGGGAATATTTCATATTTTTGTGTTTTTGATACTACTACAAATTTATATATCGAGTTGCGAGTGTAAAGAGCTATATATGGAAAATTATAATATTTAACATTTTGGTATAATTCAATATAATTTATCATTCTATATTTAAATGTATTAACAACCTTAAATAAAATTTAACTTAAGTTTAATATAAATGTTAAATACAAAAACACAATTCAAATCTTTGAAGCATTTAATCTCAAAATGTCTTTTTGTGAAATACAGTTTCCTTAGATTCATAGTATAATATATTCATTATAATTATTAATAGAAGAGGAATATGCTTTAGGTAAATTTTACTATAGGTATTATTATCTTTACACTTGTTACTTATATTGTTAAATTTCCAATCAACAGAATATATTATGAATGATATAATTTGGGATCTATAATTTTTTTCCATATATTGTATACTCTGAATTATATAGCGTAGTATCAACCCATTTGGAATTGCATCTGAATTATAAAAACAAGTATTCAATTGCTTATCTTAGGCTATTATCTTATTAACAGATGATTCTAACAATTTATTAACTTATTTTTTGGAATCAGTATTATTTATTAAAGAGCTTTTTTTTTAGTGAGAACATTAAAATTAAATTTTGTATTCATTATATTATATCATATTCTGCTTTTAAGAATTTTATTTATCAAATATCTAGTTATTTAGAGCTCTATCACATAAATTTTTACTTGAGTTTAATTTATTATTAGACTTAAAATTAAATTACAAAAATAAAATGAATAATATTGTCATCTTGTTGTAGAAATTCATTAATGGTGGTTTGTAGTATAGTATACAATTATATGAAAATTATATATTACAGTTGTGTAAATGATAAATTTTGTAAATGAAACATTTTCAAAATTTTATAATATAATAATGATATATTTGTACACTCAATATAACATAAACCAAAATATCCATTAATCACTGTAGAAAGATCCACACAAAGCTATTAATTTATTTTATTCTTTAAATGTTTAATAATTTAAATTTATTAATGACAAAACATTTTAATTCTAGGAAATTCTAGTAGTTTAGGAAATGGTCAGAGTAAGATTTCAAATAATTTACTGTCAAGTAAAACTAATAAGGTGGAAACTGCGATAATAGAAAAACAGACAGAAAATATGCAAATGCAGGTATTACAATAATTTAATTACTAGTGAATTTCGTTAATCCAGCGGTTTATTGGACCATATAGTATCAGACTACCTAAAATGTTGGATTACCAGAAATTATTTGTATGCTCTTCTTTCTTAGTTGATTAAAACAAAGTTTTACTATCCCTATATATATTACAATCAAATTAATCTATTAACAACAGTAAAAATAGGAAAACCCTATGGATCCCCAGAATATGTTTCTTTGTATAATAATATTAATGATAAGGACTTTTGATGATCAAAAAAGTGCTGAAATATTATTAAACTTGTTATCAAGATTCACCTGTATATTACTGCTTACGTGCCAAAAAATTCAAGTTTTAAAATTGATTAAATAACATTATATGCATAACCACCTCATACAAATGTTAAACTTTCAAACAAATAGTATAAAATATGATTTTAATGTAGTCTAAGAATGCAAAAACATTATTTTTTTTTAATTACTACTAAATTTTGATTGTATCAAAAGTTATAGGAATTGTCATATAGATAGACCTGTTCTATTTTGTATATGTATTATAATAATTACTGTTTGAGACATAGTTAAGAAATTGATCTATATAAGTTCTCATGCTATATTATATTACAGGTGAACGATGATGATAGTTTTCACGGAAACACTAGCCTATCCAATAGTTGGGATGATAACTCTGGATGGGATGTTGGAGATGATTGGGAAAGTATTGGTGCTAATAGTTTGGTAAATATATCTTATGATTCCCTTCTAAAAAATAAATGTTTCAAAATAACATAGATTTTATTTTATTTTTTAACAACAATGATTATTTTTGTTTACATATGGTAAACCAATATAAAAATTATTCAGCTAATGGCTTTGCTACCTAAGCTCAAACTTAAAAATCATGATTATATGAATATTTACTTTAAATTTTTTTAAACAGTTTATTTATATAACAATGTTTGATTCAAGTTTGACAAAGGAGAACACAATGCAAGTGAAATGAAATCAGTGACAATAAGCGAGGACGTGATAGAAGAGGTGGAAAGTTTTTAGTAATTAGGATCAGTTGTGCAAAAAAATGGTGGTATTAACAAGGATTTAAGACAAAGGATTAAGTGCAGGTGGTTGAACTGGAGAGAAATGTCTGGTTTGTTATGTGATTAGAGAATTCCAATGACGATGAAAGGTAAATTCTATAAGACTGTAGTGAGGCCAGCTATGCCTCACTAAACCAAACCCAACCCAACCCAACCTATCGGATTCAAAATGATGGGCGGTTGACAAGATAATGGAGCAGAAATAAGAATGCATAAATGGATGAGTGGAGTAACTAGAAAAGATAGGATAAGGAATGAACATATAAGAGGGATTATAGGTATAGCTTCAATCGTAGATAAGATAAGAAAAAATAGACTTAAAAAGTTTAATGGTCATGTTATGAGGAGAGAAGAATTGGAAGTTGTAAGAATAATTATAGAAATGAATGTTGAAGGAAGAACATAAAAGAGATGAGAAAATGTTATTGAATGCAATATGAGGACATTTGATGTGAGCTTAGATGATGTAGGAGATCGTGTCAAGTGGAAGTTTTGGATAAGGGTGGCCAACACCAAGTAGTTCAGATTAAGGCAAGGAAAAAAAAAGAACATTAATATACAAAAATTAATTTAATCAAGTAATAATTCTAAAAATTAAGTTGAATAAATTAGTTTTTCTTACGAGTCTATTTTAAATATTCCTGTGTTAAAATGTAAAATATCTAAAAAAATATACATTAGAAAAAAAAAATGTCTTAGGAGTATATATTTAAAAAATAAAATTGTTTTAATTCATTCACTTACAAATAGTCAGTTTTAAATAAAAAAAACGTCGAAATTTACTGATATAAATGTCGTAATTTCATAAGGATGTACGGAGAACAAGGGATTTTTTTTTTAATATCCGAGGGAAATTTCTTCAACTAGATATAATTTGTGATTTTTTTAATGTGTTTTTGAAAAAATTGGTCAATTATAACTTGAGAGAAATGAGAGACAGACATATTAGAAAACACACACATGATAGTTAAATTAATATCTTCTTAATTTCGCATCAATGCTAAAAAAGAAAAAATGTTGTTCTATATTTAAGAAACTTTAAATTACTTGAAGAAATGGAGTAACTGGCATACTTTTAATGTGGTAGCATCTCATGAATCCTTTTGAATCACCAGTTATAATATTCTACAAAACAAATTATAATGCAAGTCAGTACCGAATTTTTAGGGGTTATAGGAAATATCTGTAGTAATCGTGCATCGGATTGAAAATAGAATGTTATGTCAATTAATGAATTAGCAAGTGTCAGGGCCCATTGTATGCGCATAGTATACAAATATTTTCTAAAACTTAAAATAATTATAAAACTACACAGAAAAAAAATTGTCAGAATATCTATATAATCGGTTAATATAGTGAATAAATAAGGGCGCGGTGGTCACACTAGTTGTTGACAAAACTCTAGTGTTCACCTCCGCTGTAGGTGAACAGATGGGTGACCATGCATGCGCTTCTACGATAGCGAAAAAGCACCATGTTCTCAGTGTAGAAAGCAACGGAAAACCACTGCACTTAAAATTTCCCCAGGATATACTAATGGTATTAACCAACGGTTGTAAAAAAAAAAAAAAAAAAAGTGAATATATAGACTGAAATTAAAACAGTTAGAATAATTAAATATTCGGTTAACCCTATCATTTATATAGTTTTTATTAGAGTTGTTTTCAAATTTTTACACATCAAACTTTTTATTCAATATAGTGTACAAAACATTTTAAAATAAATTATCAAATAAAACAAAAAAAAATTTATGAATATTCATTAGGTCTTATAACTTAAATTAAGATAATTAATTAAATAAAACTTTAAATGCTTTAATGTCTATTATTTGTCTAGTATTTTATTTTTATTTATAAAATTTCCAGCGATCTGAAAAAAATAAGGATGATTTTAGTTGGGACAATCAAGATTTAGTAAAGTTTGAACTTTCTCCAAACAACACAAGTAGTGTTTATTAAGTTTGGTATTTTCAAAAAGAATTTTTATAATTAATTGTAAAATTTTTGTAGAATCTATAGAAGATACTACAAGAGAAGAAGTGCGTAAAAAACGAGAAGATAGAAAGCAAGAACGTTTAAAACAGATAGAATTAAAAAGAAGTAATAAACAATCGCTTAAATTGGGTGCTAAAAAGTTGTAATTACATTACATTGAAACTATTATTTTAATATTTTTGTTACATATATATATATATATATATTATTTGGCTCATTTTGTTTTCCTATGACAAAACTTATAATTTGTAAAATTATTTAAAATGTATCTCATAATATTCGTTTAATGCAAGTTTATATATATTTTTTATTTTTTTTTTTTTAGCTTTCAAAAGTTTATATATATACTCATAAACTTAGTTTTAACTCAGTTAGCTATTAATTTAAATATCTGATATATCAGAAATTATGAATATTAGATCAAAAATATATTTAGATTTTTGGAAACCATTATGGACTCTTATTAATTTAATACATTAAAATAAATAATTGTTGTACCAATATTTTGTTATATATTATTTAAATTTAGTTTATATGTTTTTTTATCTTTAAATTAATTTCTAAATGCTAATTCACAACTATTTTATACTTCGCAATGTGTGTAAAATAAAATTGTAATTTTATTTGAAGTAGTCAATTATTTTTTGTAACTGATAGAGAAATTGCACAATGGCACACAAGGGCCAAACTGATGTCAATCAGAAAGCTTGATTTTTTTTCATTTGTTTTCGTCTGAGTAAACTATCTGTTTCCATATAGTCTGTGCTATTATATGGGTAAAAATAGAATTTGATCAGATTTCACGATGGATGCTACAGGCTATCTTAGTGACAGTAGAATGGGAGGGATTTTATAAAATTTAATTAATAGATTGTTCAATTAAAATAGGTAAACCCAGCAAAGGGGGGTCGCGGCACAATGGTGACGTGGCATAGTTGGATCAAGTATAATGATATCTGACAATGATTAAAATCACTATTAAAAAACGCTTCGATGCAAATCTTTAGATAGTGTTTAATTTTAAAAAATTGGTGGATTATTCCAAAAGCTACATGATCTGCTATTTCCTTATTTATCTCCTGATTAAGATAAAGTATGTCGAATGAAAAAGGGATATAAATATTATTTCTCATAAAAAAATTGAGTTGATTCAAAGTTATAGCATTATAAAGTTAAAAATGTAAAAAATGAAATTGAGATTTTTCACACAAAAATAGCATTTGGTACCCATTTTCACCATGAAGACAAAATGAAATCCAATCTTTTTTTTCCATAATAAAGTACATTACATTAGCTTCAATTTAAGATATATATATAAAAGTGTCAGACTTACCGGAACATTTTCGAAAGTTAAGTTGAAAATATTAATTTTTTGTGAAAAAGTTGTCATTTTAAATCCCCCTCTGTGGGCAAGGAAAGGGTCACATATAAAAAAAAATATATCAAATAATAGTTAAAGACATCATGCATCCATAAAAAAAAGAATTATATTGATCCATACATCTTTCAAAAAGTTATAGCATTATAAAGTTAAAAATATAAAAAAGAATTTTTTTACAAAAATCGTATTTTTTTTATCCACTTTGATGAAAATATACCAAATGATAGGTAAGGACATCAAGCATCTATAAAAAAAAAATTATATTCATATGTTAATTTTTGAAAAAGTTACGGCATTTTTTAGTAAAAAAAATTTCGAAAATTAGCGATTTTTAAATTTGTAATTTTTTTGGAGGTTTCCCCCATTTACGGGGAACGAGGGAAATTTTTTCAATTTTTGAGGGTAATGACTTCGACTAGATACGATTTGTGATCTTTTGACGTATCGTTGAAAGAAATCCGTTCGGTGATAGCTGAGAAAAAGTGGTAACAGATACAAAAAAAACATCATAGTAAAACCAATACCTTCTCAGCTTCGCATCGAAGCTAAAATTGTCAGAATAACCATGTAATCGAATAATATAGTGAATATATAGACTGAAATTAAAACAGTTAGAATTATTAAATATTATGTTAACCCTATTAAAAATTTTTTTAAAAAAATAATTTTGATTAAAAAAATAATAACAAAGCAATGTTGAGTTGAGACATTTATTTAGATTAGTATTAATTGATATCTGCCAATGATTCTAATCACTGTCTTAAAACACTTTGATGCGTCCTAAAAAAAAATTGAATATTTCACTGAAAGTTAAATGATTATCATTTTTAGAGTACGGTAACTCATAGAAGACAAGTCGACGGAAAATTTTTTTTTTTTTAATCGGTTAGTACATTAAATAAGCTACAACTTTATTAATTTTTGAACAGTGTAGATGTTCCGTTGCTATTCAAAACATTTCATAACCTGCCATTTTTACCAAAATTTCTATGATTTTTTCTTAGCTTCTTTTTAGTAAAAAAATTGTTTTTAATGTACGATATATATTGTTATATTGTATATTGTTCAGTGCATTATATTAATTAATTTTTATTGGGTAAAAAAAATGATTTTCTCAAAATAAATAGTCAGTTATAAGAAATTATAAAAAATTTTTTTATAAAATCAGCCAGGACTAACTTTAGCGTGTATTTAATATACGTCATCATAGATTCTATGTATTACCGTCGTGTTACTGTTGTTTAATCAATAAATACTACTTTTCAGAAACGTAATATAATTGGAATTTAAAAGGTGAAAGAATGTTTCAATAAAATTATTTTAATATTCCAAAAATGAGAAATCTCTTAATAAAAATAATTTTATAGTTGATTTGAAACATACTACTTAATTATCGTACAATGGACAAAAATAATGACAAAATAAGTTCACCACAATTACATCACTATAATGAAGATAAGATCAACTTAATATGTATGAAAATAGATAAAGGTATTTCTTATTTCAATGCTTTAATTTAAAACTCATCATCTTAGAAATCTATTATTTAGAGTTCAAACGTTATTTATTACGTTAAATATTAATTTTCGAATTCTACATAACTAATTGTAAGTTATTTACCATGATAGAGTGCTTTAAATATTAAATTTCATATAGGAGAAAAGTAAAACTTATTCTTTAAATCTTTTAACTGAAAAAATAATTTTTTTGAGGTAATGCAGTTCAAATATGAGGTGTTGATTTATTAGGTGTCGGCTACTATAAGAGTAGCACTTAAGAAATGTTTCGGGAGCGTATAATAAATCAATTTTTGTTAAGAAATTTGTAAAATGACCATTTTTTTTAATCATACGTCAAAATTATAAAAATTTATTTCCAAAAATAGGTTTTTTTAAGGTATAAAATGGTTAATTTTAATTATGAATAGTTATTTAATAATAATTAAAAATTTGAAAAATAATCTTTCCAAGAAAAGTAAGAAGTTGACTTTAGTTAATTACTTATGAATTCCCATTTATCTGTTAATAAATACGTTATTGTTCATCCCTTATTAAATATAAGTGATGAACATAAAAAATATGTGAAGTACAGAGTAGAGGCACAATCATCAAAGTCAAAAATACATACATCTTATGGTAAAATTAATAGATTTTATAATATTTTGCATAGTAACGGAATGTTTAAATTATTTTAAATTAAAGCTTGTTTAATGTAATGTATGATTAAAAAAAGAAAAACGTTATAGTAGCTTATCCTTATGAGTCATCAACGTGTAAAGTCAAAAATCATGTAATTTTTCGTAAATATGTTAAATTTTTTTTTTGACGTGTTTCAAATATACGTCAAAGGGTTTTACGGAGTGATGTAAATCACTGTCAGTTATCAATTAATACTACTAATCTATAAAATGCCTCAGCTGAAATTTTCTGAATCCCTATTTTACTTAATTTTTTTTTAACACATATTTTACTATAAAAGTAAACAATCAAAATAGTAGTTGTAATAAAATAATAATAATCTATTTATTGAATCTAAATCATAAATACGATATTATCTAGTGATTATATTCAGTAGCGCAGTTATCGGAGGTGCTGAAGCACTTCCAGACTTGATTTTAACACCTTTAGTCATTGTTACCTTTCCCAAATTTTAATACCTATAGTTTCAACTGTGTATTTTTATTTATAATAATTTATTATCCGTTTTTTACTATATCAATGTTTTTCAAGAAAATCGTTATTTTGAGTACATTGAAACATTTTAATATTGAGCTTCCGAACAACCACAATGGTTAGCTTGGTTATGCAGCTATTTATTATATTGTGGAGGATTGAGTTCCTTACGACTTAAAGGGGCTTACGTAAACTTTATGCAATTTTAGCACCCTCTGAGTTTGTGCTCTAGTTGTGCTAATGAGTATAATTATTGTAATAGTTATTACCAAGAAATTTCTCAATTTTTAAATAAATTATATATATATTTTTTATTACTTTATTTTATGTTTTATATATTTGTGAAATTAAAAAAAAAATTTATTGACTATAACAAATTTTCAAAAGAATAATATTTAAAATAATAATAATAATAATAGGTACGTAGGTTACGAGCAGGTTTATAATCAGAATTTTATTTTGATGGAACGTGTCTTAAATGGAAATTTTCAAGTTTACACAATACTATCATATTAAGCCACATACATATTTTAACTAAAAAAAATTGGAAAAGGTTCAGATCTTTTGGACCACTTGCATGAGTAAAAATATACTTTTTCGATTTAATTGTTGAATTATTCTAATAAATAATTTAAAATTTGAATAGTGTAATTAGAAGTTTATATTGGAGGAATTCATATAAAAATAAATTTCACTTCCCATTCTAAAGAAAAAAAATCTTCTCCATATAATTATTTTTGTGATGGGGGGGATACGTTACCTATGTCCCAATAACTATGTCACTGCAAGTCTTACTGAATGAAATTTCTGTATCTAACATTAGTTTAACACAAATGTTTTATATTATATCATAATTTAAAAAAGTATAATTTTCAAAATTTGTAATCAGCTTATATTTTCAGAAACAACTAATTTAAAAAACTCAAAAAATGAAAATAAATTAGTTACTATTGAAAATGATCATAAATATTTTAATGCTGATTTACAAGAAACTGATACAATAACACTCTTAGAATTACCAGCCTTGAATCCCACTGTTAACCTACTAACACCAGAACAAAAAAAAATACACAAGATTCCTCAAGTAACTATAAAAAAAAAAAATAAATAAATAAACTTATTTTAAAAATATCTTATATAAAAAATAGAGCATACTATAAGTATATTTTTTCAGATTTTCGATGGAAAAAAGCTATGTTTGTTGTCCAATGCTACTCAAACTTCGAACTCATTTAAAAGAAAACAAAAAACTCAAACAACATCTATTTTACTTAATGTGATTAATTAAATAATACTTTTTGATATTGTTGGTTTAAATAGTTAAAATTAAATACAGATATTTTTTAAACATCCCCCATCTAATTTCAATAAATGTATTTAGGTCGCGCCCTAACTTTTAGTCTTTGATGTTTATAGTCTAAAACGACTGCACAAAATATAAAAATGATTCAAATAAAATAAGCAAATTTATATTAAAAAAAAATCATGATAATTAGCTTAGATTAAGCGAGGTGTGTTCTCAAGTCTCATGGATACTTAAAGTACTTTTCTGAGTATGATGATAACTTTATTTTCGCTCATCTTTTCAACATTCTGTTAAATATAATCGAAAATTGTATTTTGGGGTCTCAATGTCTTTATCTAACTCTGATAGTATTCTAAATATTAAACATATCCCTTCATACTTTTTTTCAGAATAAGTCTATTTATACTTCTCAGTGGCAGCTCATTCAAAGTAATGTCAATGTAATATCTCAATCAATAGAAAGACGTAAGTATGTAATTTATTTTTAATTCTTGTAAAAAGGTTTACCAGTCGTGACCCTCATTCGTAAATTTTACCTATAATTTATTATCATTTTTTTATTTTCTGAGATAATACAGTCAAAAGAAAAATACATATAGGCAATTCTCATTTTTTGAAATATATTGTAAAAATATGATTAACTTTTAGTTATGCAAAATAAATTTACACTACAGTTAAATGAGAGTTGTTTAACAATAATTTTATATAAATTTAATGTATTATATATGTATTCTTAGACTATGTTAAAATCATACTTCTTAATATATGCTTGTAACTCAATTTGTTATAAACCATTATTAATTTTTGTAAGAAAAATACTTAAAACTGGTTATTTTGAAATTTCAAATTAAATATATGAATAATTACTAAAATAAAATAATAAAATACATGATTTTAACGTATTCTAAGAATGTATAAATAATTAAAGAAAAAAATTACAACAAAATGTTAATTGTTTCAAAAGTTCCACTCTAAATATATATAGTATTTTTAAATTTCAATGTGTTTCATAATCGCAAAGATGAAAATGATTTTGAAGTAATCAAGCCTGACTTATTCAAAAAAACAACGTTTATTTTAAATCGAATTATAACATCAAACAATTTTGCTGAAAAACAAGTCAAATTCAAAACTCAGTGTATAGGTATGTATGATACATATCATCATTAAGACCAATCAGTCATTAAAAAAAAAATCAATATTTTGATTTATATACAAATATACATATTTATTATTTTTCTAATGCTTCTTTTTAAATATGAAATGCAAATCGAATTTTAAGTGATATACGGTGTATTTAGTGACCTATCGATGAATATATAGTATATCAATGAAGCAGTCTAACATTTTTTGTGTGGGAGAGGCTGGAAAATTTTTTTTATTATTGAACAACAAAAGTTATTTTTGATAAATTATTTTCATTTGGTATTGGGTCTTAAAAAATGTATAAATTTTGATTTGGTCACTCCGTGTATATTATTAACAAATAAATATTCGTGTTAGATTTTTTACAATAAAAACTGTGTAATATTTAGAAATTTAGTTAATATGGTCGTGGGGAGATCCCATATAGAACAAAAAATGTTCAAGTGGTATTGTAAACAACTATGATAATTATTTACGAATATAAATATCTCGGAAGTAGACCTAATACATTTTTAAATTACTTTTAGCTCTGAGACATGTTGACAATCTTTTTTTTTTAAATCCTTTTAAAAGAATAATTTTTAGTAAAAAATTAGGTTGTCGCATGAATTTTTAGGAGTTAGGCTATATCTATTCAGCCCCTCTGGATACACTACTGAAATATTTTTATATTTATGAAAACATAATATATACTTATATAATAACAATTGTTGTTTAGATACCGAATTTGTGTCATATCGTTACATATTAGAAGAAATTTTATATTTTTCTTGTCAAGAAATCACGAATTTTTCTATAACGTCTTTTGTGTGGAATATTATGAATGAAGTATGGCTATTAATCAAAAATTAAAACTACTTATTTAACAAAGATTATACACTGATTAAAATTATTACTAATGAACAATTATAGATTATCTAAGGCTATGATTTAAAAACGTATACATAAAAAAATAATATTTTTTAATAACTACCTTAGAAATAATGTATATGTTAATAATATGATTTAAGTTTTTTTTTTAAGAACAACTCTCTTTACTTCTAAAAAAACTAAAAAGGATTTCTGTTGTTAAATTGGACATAAAATAAAAATCTGAAAAATTTAGTGAAATTTTTTCACTAATTTTCAGAAACTCGTATTTTAAAGTTGATATTTCCCTAATTGAATCACTAAGAAGATAAAGGATAATACTACAAAAAATTTTGGTAACTATCTTGTAGATTAAAGGGAGACTCATATTATAAATGTATAAAAAAAAATTTTTTATGTATATTTTAAATTCTAAGAATGTTTCTACTTATAATCGTTTTAGTTGGTGTATTTTTTTTATTATTTGGATATGCTTTTGTTATAATTTTATTTTACATAACGATTGATTATATACAAAACCTATCCAAACCATTCATGCCAGTACAAGAAATGTTTTGCTTACGTAAGTTATAGTGTTAAATATTCAATATTCATGATATTAAAAAAAACAAAGCTGTATTTTACACACACACTGAAGGAACTGCAATAAGGTCCCAAATGAAGCCTGTAATTATTAATTATTAGACTTTGGAGGTGAAGGTGAACTTCATATATTTAATGATGCGTGTGATCGACAAAATAGAAATCACAGTGACCAGATTACTTTTGGCTATAACAATAAAAAACAGAATTTCTATTATATACCAATATTTTTCAGTGCGAGGGTACAAGTCTTTACTATTTAACCGAAATTGTTATTTATCGAGCAGTATGTAGATTTTACCGCATTTATGTACATAGTTAAGATGAAAATTTCATCAAGACGTTCAAAAAGTCTCACCAATTTATAAAGTTAAGTCAATGAAAAATGAAAAAGTAGTAAATACATGGACATTGGTCTCAGTATATTAAAAAAAAAAAAAATTGTTTTCTTAGTGATTCAATCAAGAAATACCTAAATTATACATTTTGTCGTATAACATAAAATTAAAGTTTTTATAGTTGTAACTAAACAATTTATTCAATGAAATAGCGAATCCAAAAATGATTGTATATAAGATTGTATTTTTGATAGAATATAATAGCAGCTAGCTATGGAAAAACAGATTGCGATGGTGATGACATTCAAGGAATCGTATGTTGTTGGTCATTAAAAAATCCTATTTACCCAGAAAGAATATATAAATTTGATAAAGCTATTACTTGCTCAGTTTTTTCCAAATCTAAAGCTAATATTCTTATTGTAAGTAGTGTTAGTGGCCAAATATTTGTACTAGATATAACACAGGACCACTGCATACCAAGAATAATCAATAGGTAACTATATTCTCTAATTTATTAATGAATTTTTAAATGTATGTGTTGAATATTTATGAATTTCTAGTGTTTTTATATATTTATTATCCTACATAGATTTAATTGCTTATTTAAAAAAAAACAGTGCGTGTTACGAGTACGCGCGGTTGAAGTGAAACTTCTTTCGTTATGAAGATATCAAGTAAAAATTGTATCTATTGAGATTCTTTAAAATTTTTTTATGCACAATCATAATTACTTGAAATTAAATTATTTAATATATTTTAATTAAAATTACTTTAATTTTCGAAAAGACAGTGCTAAATTATAATATAAAATATACTTTACAGCCGACCGTGACGCTCAATAATCTGTATTTTTTGGACCCTCTATAAAGAAGTTTCACTTCAAAAATTGATTATATTACCTATTAATAATTGAATACTTAAGTTTCATTATCTATGCTATAGTAAGAACATGGAATATTTCCCAATATGTTACATTGTTCCATTCATGCAAATCAATCATAATAATTCTGAAGACGAGTATGTTTTATCAGTCGATAGCAATGGCTTTGTGCGGAAATGGTCTATTTTATTCGAATCAAACAAAATTGGTAAGGACCAAAGATTATAAATACATCATTAGGGTTTCACAAAAATCGAATTCTGTTGAACCCATTGAACGAGAGTTCGGACTCTCATACAAGCTTCAAACATACAAGCCCCACCTGTATAATTAGATTTTGTTCCGCAAAGTTGTACTGGTTCAAATCATTCACAAAAGTTACACTAGTTATATAAGATAAGAATGCACTATACAAATAAAAAAATTATAACTGTACACACTTCTAATATTGTATTATTAGTATTCTTTTTGTAATGAATACAATTAAGTATTATAAAACTCATAGAAGAATTACAATACAAATAAATTCGTAAATTTTTATTTAAAAATTTATCTATTATTTAATAAAATACCAATTATTTTTTAGATCAGATGTTCTTGATTTATTGCGGATTAAAAAATGACGAAGGCATAACGCTAAAAAATAATAGTATTATTGTACAAAATATGTCAGGCACTGTGATAACATTTCACCCTATCAAAAAAATGATCTTCTATGTTGGAACTAATTTTGGTTTTATAGTCAAGGTAGACTTATGTTGTTAATAATAATTTCTTTGATATTTATAAATCTATAAATGTACAGAGGTGTACTGGAAATGAGTAACGTCATTAAACAATATTTCTATAGCAGATTTAACAAAAGTAATGCATATTTTAATAATTAACTCCATCTTTTTAATTGAATAATAAATTCAAAAATAATTAATATAATATAAAAAATAAACCCAAGTCATATCTATAAAATGTAAAATATATTAGAAGGTAACTTTTTAAAATATAAGTTAAATACAAAAAAAGTATCTTGAGTCATTCGTAATATTAATCCATAACATAAAAATTTCGAGAAATTAAAAATTTTTTTTTCATTATCCTTGAAAAGATTATTTTTCAAATTTTTAATTATTATTAAATAAGTAAAATTAGCCACAAGTGATCAATTTTTATTATATTATTAAATAACTATTCATAATTAAAATTAACCATTTTATACCTTAAAAAAACCTATTTTTGGAAATAAATTTTTATAATTTTGACGTATGATTAAAAAAAATGGTCATTTTACAAATTTCTTAACAAAAATTGATTTATTATACGCTCCCGAAAATTTTCTCAAGTGCTACTCTTATAGTAGCCGACACCTAATAAATCAACACCTCATATTTGAACTGCATTACCTCAAAAAAATTATTTTTTCAGTTAAAAGATTTAAAGAATAAGTTTTACTTTTCTCCTATATGAAATTTAATATTTAAAGCACTCTATCATGGTAAATAACTTACAATTAGTTATGTTGAATTCGAAAATTAATATTTAACGTAATAAATAACGTTTAAACTCAAATAATAGATTTTTGAGTTGTGAAATTTGGAACTAAAGCGTTGAAATAAAAAGTAACTTTATCTATTTTCATACGTATCATGTTGGCAAAAACTTTTGGAGTTGAAGAGAGCAGCATGCCACTTTATAATAATATTAAACTATCTTAAACTGACCTTGGATCAATTATTAAACAAATAACTGAAAAAATTAGAAATTTGACATGTTATATATATACACATATCTTGTTTTTATAGACTTATAATTCAAAGACAAAGAGAACTTATTGAGCACATTGTATCAATTGGGCATATCTGAAAAGCTTATAAGACTAATCTGTGCATGTTTACAGGAATCAAATTGAAAGGAGAATTTCGGAGATGTAGTATCGAAAGATTTTGAGGTAGTAACGGGGCTAATGTAAGGACTTACAGCTATATTTAATGTATCTATGGAATAAGTTATAAGAGAAATCTTAGTAACAGCTAGTGGTATTAAAATTGGAAATGAAAAACAATTAGTAGTAGCAGCACAAGCAGATTACTTTGTTATAATGACAGAAAATTAAGCAAGTTTAAAATATACTATAAAAACCAAAGAACGCAAAAAGCCTCGAGAAAATAACTTAGATGAGCAGAAGCAAACAGATGTCTTTTTGATTAGTTGTTCTATTTAAATTGAAAATGTTATCTTGGAAGACAAAAATAACATTATACAGAGTGCTAGTGTGACCGATAGCAGTATATGCTTGTGAAGCTTGGCAACGGAAAAAACAAATAAAAATTAACTAGCTATTTTTGAATGAAAGATTCTTAGAAGGATATTTAGTCCAAAAAATAATAATCAAAGAAAATTTGAATTAAGAACAAACCATGAAATAGAAGAATTATATGGCGAAACAGACATAATTGGGGCCCTTAATAGCAATAGGCTAAGGTAGGCTAATATGTATGTATATCGGAAGAACCCATTGGGTTGGTCACTAGATGGAAACCAAACACAATAAGATCAAGAAGAAGGCAGCGATGGAAGGACTGAATCACCAAGAAAGATAATTCTTATATAAATGATAATAATTTGACAAGTGCTGTTTGGTACCAACATTTTATAACCAATCTATAAAATCTGATAAAATGAATTTAATTTAAAATTTTTCAAAACTATGGTATTGATTACTTCAACTTTATATGTTTTATGATCTTCTCACGCATATTTAAGTAAAATAAGTACAGTAGGAGCGAAGAAAATGCATATATGGATATAAAATCAACAGCACTGTGGTATCGGGACATAGTTTCAACGAGAGTAGATACAGTGATTGACTTCACTATCATAAAAAGTGTAACCCAATTAAGTATTTTTGGATTCAACACTGATTATGAACCTATTTTAGTGGCAAGGCTCCTATATTCTCTAGCTACTCTACTTATTTGTAATTAATTTATCAAATTAAAATAATTATATAATAACAATTATTATTACATATTAAAATTTGGTTGAACCTAAAACTTTTAAGGGCAAACTAATGATTTTTCATTGCTTTTATTTACTCACCTTATTTAACTAAGTATTAATATTGAATTTTCAATGTTTCTTGAAATATATAATAAATAATTAATTAATATCGATTATATTTTTAGAACTATATAGATAATTGTGACGATTACGATGACATTTTTATGGCTCATAATGGTCCAGTATATGGAATAAAATTTTCTCCATTTTTTCCAAGCGTTTATATGACTTATGGTGCAGACTGGCAAATAAAAATTTGGGCTGAAGATGTTGAAATTCCACTTCTTTCACTCTGTAACTTTGTAAGATATGTTAATTTTTTTATTATCCTATAGTTGTTAGACTTATAAGTCTAACGATCGATGATATAAGTCTCCCCTTATGGATATAATGGCTTGTTAAACTTTAACCATAGGCATAAAATAAAAAAAATCCTAGCACAGGGGAGTCGCGGCACAATGGTGACGTGGCATAGTTGGATCAAGTATAATGATATCTGACAATGATTAAAATCACTATTAAAAAACGCTTCGATGCAAATCTTTAGATTGTGTTTAATTTTAAAAAAATTGGTGGATTATTCCAAAAGCTACATGATCTGCTAGTTCCTTATTAATATATTGATTAAGATAAAGTATGTCGAATTAAAAAGGGATTATTAAAAAATATTATTTTTCATAAAAAAATTGTGTTGATCCATACACTTTTCAATATGTCATAGCATTATAAAGTTAAAAAAGTAAAAAATTAAATCGAGAATTTTCACACAATAATAGCATTTGGTAGCCATTTTCACCGTGAAATTAAATAAAGTCCGAAATTTTTTTTTGCATAATAAAGTAAATTACATTATCTTTAATTTAAGATATATATAAAAGTGTCAGACTTTCTGGAACACTTTCAAAATTTGAGTTGAAAAAGTAAATTTTTTGTGAAAAAGTTGTCATTTTAAATTCCCCCCTGTGGGCAGGTAAAGGGTCAGATATAAAAAAAAAATATACCAAATAATAGGTAAAGACATTATGGATCTATAAAAAAAAGAATTATATTGATCCATACATCTTTCAAAAAGTTATAGCATTATAAAGTTAAAAATACAAAAAATAATTTTTTTACAAAAATCGTATTTTTTTATTAAGTTTGATGTCTGTTTCACCATGAAGATAAAATAAAGTCCGAAATTTTTTTTTACCATAATAAATTATATTACATTAACTTTAATTTAAGATATATATAAAAGTGTTAGACTTTCCGGAACACTTTTAAAAGTTAAGTTGAAAAAGTTCTACTTTCTACATGCATTTTTTAGATTTGAACCCCCCTCAAATATAGGGAAATGGACCAATTTAAAAAAAAAGTTTGTCGAATAAAATATGTATATAAATACTACTTCTCATGAAAAAATTGTATTGATCCATACATTTTTCAAATAGTTATAGCATAATAAAATTAAAAATGTAAAATACAAAATCGAAAATTTTCACACAAAAATAGCATTTGGTAGCCATTTTCACCGTGAAGATAAAATAAAGTCCGAAATTTTTTTTTTCATGATAAAGTATATTACATTAGCTTTAATTTAAGATATATATAAAAGTGTCAGACATTCCGGAACATTTTCAAAAATCAAGTTTAAAAAATTAATTTTTTGTGAAAAAGTTGTCATTTTAAATCCCCCCCTGAGGGGAGGTAAATGGTCAGATATAAAAAAAAAGTATACCAAATGAAAGGTAATTATATCATGCATCTATATAAAAAAACATTATATTGATTTGGTTATTTTTAAAAAAGTTATAGCAATTTTAAGTAAAAAAAATTGAAAAAATTGAAAAAATTAGCGATTTTTAAATTTGTAATTTTTTTGGAGGTTTCCTCCATTTATGGGGAACGAGGGAAATTTTTTCCATTTTTGAGGGTAATGTCTTTGACTAGATACGATTTGTGATCTTTTGACGTATCATTGGAAGAAATTGGTTCTGTGAGAGCTGAGAAAAAGTGGTAACAGACACAAGAAAAAACACATCATAGTAAAACCAATACCTTCTCAGCTTAGCATCGAAGCTAAAATTTGATAGAAGGTGCTTAATTGATTTTACACACTCTAATAAATACTTTTGCAAAAAAATAATTTTTAAAAAAATTTTAGGGACTATAACTAGTTTTAAAAAGGCTTACGCTATCTGAGCCCTCATTCAATTTATGATTATCTTATTATATAATAGAACAAGGAAAAAAACGCTTCTCTGGGAAAATTACTTAGCGTGCTCGGATATTGGCGAAGGTCGGAACATTTTTGCCGCTCGCCCACCAGCGTTTTAAAATTTCGACCATTTTCGAGAAAAACGCTCGCTGACGCCAGCGTTTTACGACTTAAGGTTTGAATTTTCATCAGATCCGCCCAATGACATTCCTGAGATATGATAAAAAAATCAATTCAATCCGTTCATTTTTCACCGTTTTACGAACTTTTTTTTTTTTTTTTAATTAAATTTTTATTTTTATTTTTAATATTAATTTAAATTTAAATTTACAGTGTGCCACTTATAATAACCTGCTAAATTTTTTTTTAATTATTCTATAATATAAACATAATTATTATAATTAGATTATTAATAATTTTTGTGTATAACAGGGGTGTATTTAAGAGAGATTGGTCCCTCCTTGAACAAGCGCTATCAATATTCTTTTAGGCAACTTCTAATATATAAGGACCTAATGTCCTTTTTTTTCATCATTACTTTAATTTTAGCAAAAAAATTTCTATAACATATTTAACAAAGTAAAAAATATTAAATTTCCTCCTAAAATAATTTTTGAATAGGCCTAAAGGAAATACCTCATTAAGAGGCTTCAACCTTACACCCAATACATTTTACTATATTCTCTTTTTGAATTTTCCTGATTTTAATAATAACATTTTTAGATATAGTTTTCTATAGTTTTCACTGATTCTGAAGTAATATTTTTTCTGAAAACACTTATCGTGCCCGGCGTAGCCGGGTACTTCTACTGGAATCAGTGGCCTACTTATGATGACGGCCCAAAGAGGCTTACGCGCCTTCGGCGCGTAAGGCTCGAAGGGCCCCGGGTCTGGGGCGGATCCCCAGCTAGGCAGAGCCTAGTAATTATAATAATAATAGTAAATGTTGAAATATTTATGGGAATCTTTGGAGTCCAAATCGCATAATCACGGTAGTAGGAATAGTGAATGAGAGAAGTTCCCCACAACTTCTTATTTTAAAAGCTCAAAATAATTTTTTTTTCTAAAGTTATGAAAAAGTATTAGATTCTAGTCAGTGGCGTATTTAAAGTTGGGCCAATTAATCTAGAAGCTATATTCATATTAAATTACCTCGTATAATAATAATACACTATTTTTTGTTTATTGTACAGTCAAAAAGAATTATTTCCTTCCCATCCTGGCATTATAAATCTTATTTAAGCTCCGTTTCTTACACAAAAACGAAACTTTATTTTTCAGAATACTGTTGAAGATGCTGATTGGTCGCCTGTTCATTCCACTGTAATTGTTAGTGTAAGTGGGAAATTTATATGTATATGGGATTTTGCTAGAAAAGCAGTAGAACCTGTAATGAAGTTAGAATGTCGTGAAGATGTTCATTTTACTTTGGTAAAGTTCTCCAAAAACGGCAGAGTAAGCACATTAGAAGACAATTAGGAAACATTTATATAACATTTGAGAAATTTTATGTAATTCACATTACCAAAGAGGCCATTAGAAAAAGCCACCAAATTTGGTTTTTAACTTTTTTACGAATACCAGTTTATAAGATTAATAACTATTTTACTAAATAATGATTGAGACCATTGAGGTCTTCAGACACATAAAAATTATTAAGTTTATTAATCAAAATAGGGTCCTAAAAAGCGCTCTATCCAGTGGCGGCTCGCCGGGTGAGGCAAGTGAGGCACAATCTCACCTGCAATTTACCTTATAATTATTTATTTCGAGTCTCTATCAATATCAAATATCTTTCAAATTATTATAATTTATTTTTATAATTAACGAAATTTGTAATCTTGAACCATAAAAGATAATAGAACGAAAATAGATAACATAATGTTGCGCCTGACTGACGCTGCACAAACACAGCGAGATATAACACGGTAGTAGAGATGGAAAGTTTAGTTCATTTCTGTGAATAGTTCATTAGTTCATAGTTCATTCAAGTGAATAGTTCAAATGAACTATTCTTAAGTTCACTAATTTTATTGATCATGCTGATATTGTTTGGCAATGAACTATTCATTTTATCACTATTAGTATAGCAGTACACAGTTCAGTTGTAGTTCACACTACTTATGGGCAATTAAGTTATAAACTAACCCTTAACCTGAACATCATAAACTAAGAAAAAATTATTATTAATACCCTCATGGCTCATGTTATCATTATCACCTAATTCAAGGTAGATATACTGACCAGTAGTCTTAAGTTAAATCAGAAATTTGATCTAATATTTTTACATAGTATGAATTTATTTTATTGTTAAACAGTTAAAAACCCTGTAACATTTTAACAATATAATTTATTTGTTATCTAATTGTAAACAGCTATTAACCATTTACAGTATTTCGAACAACGAACCACAAAGAATTTTTAAAGAAGTTCGCGAACTATTTCATTTATACATTGCTACCAATTTTTTTCGAACTGTGAACTGTTAAGTTACAGGTACTGAAACAGTTCAGAATAGTTCATCTAAGTGAATAGTTCAAATGAACTATTCGTTCACGAACTTAACATCTCTACACGGTAGTCAGTGCCGAAACCAAATGTCTGCGCTCTCCGTTCGTTAATGATTAAAAAATGACAACACGTTACACTACCAATTACGAAGCAAACCGATGAAGTCCGAGAGGCAAACTTTTTTTTTGATTCAGTTGCTATACTGGATTATTAAGATTGATTGGTGGGGGAGAGTCGTGAATACTTGGTAAAATGAGGCTGATGTCAATTTTCCTCAGCGGTGAACACCATCGTGTGCCAGGTGGTTTCAAATGGAAACGACATTTTACATATAAATTAAATGGAATCGACATTATGTCGTTATTGTTCCTAATCTATGCTTACCCCACAAAAACAACAAACGAATTACGTTTATCACATCAGTTATCAGTCAATGTATAAAAGTATTTAACGATTATAATTTTTCATCTTATAATTTATAAAAATTTTAAAGAATTAACATGTTACCGATTAATACAGCTATTATCTACGTGTACCTATAATCTTAAAAATAGGTATATTCTTTGTTCAAATTTACTAAATTAAAAGTTTGCCTCACCACTTCCGAGACCCACGAGCCGCCACTGACTATCGTAATGCACGCATACATTTAAGTACACCGCTGATTTAACAGAACTGCTTTTGTGGATAAGACAAAGCGGAGCTACCGTTAATGCTCAATGTATTTGATTTGTACACTTTCCACCAGGAGCAGAAGCAGGATTTCTTAAGGGGAACTAAAAACTTTCACTTTTTACTTACACATTCTTTTACTATCGTTAAAGTCATATAATTTTAATAGTTATAATTTGCCAATGAGGATCTATAGTCCTTTTAGCCCCCTCTTGAATACTCTACTATTATCCATGTTTACAAGCGTGGAAAGTCACAAAAAAAAATATGAATACACTTTTTTTACATAATATGTATTTTTTTTTAAATATATTAAGTTGGGACGCTAAATATATAATTGACCTTGAGCATCAATGACAGTTAGCAAAGCCATAGGGAAAACCCTAAAAATAAAATGTAAATTTTATTTAATTTTTAAATAAATTTGACGTCAGAAACGTCATTTCAATTTTTTTTTGTAAGTACAAACATCGTGCACTGGACTGAAAAGACAGTGTTATGGCGGACAATGAATTAACCAGTGCCGGGGCCTATTCATTATATACGATAATTTATAAGAAGATTATAAAAAAACTTCTACTGCTCAAAAATAAACTATCTAGTCACAGAAATGTAAATGATCGATAGTACTCAATATATAATAATAATAATGAGGAGCTACTTAAAGTTTAAATATTTTTCACGTATCGTGTTTATTTTGTTATACTGAACAAAAAGTTTGATGTGTAAAAATTTGAAAATAACTCTAATAAAAACTAAATAAATGATAGGGTTAACATAATATTTAATAATTCTAACTGTTTTAATTTCAGTCTATATATTCACTATATTATTCGATTACATGGTTATTCTGACAATTTTGGCTTCGATGCGAAGCTGAGAAGGTATTGGTTTTACTATGATGTGTTTTTTTTGTGTCTATTACCACTTTTTTTCAGCTCTCACAGAACCGATTTCTTTCAATGATACGTTAAAAGATCACAAATCGTATCTAGTCGAAGACATTACACTCAAAAATGGAAAAAAATTCCCTCGTTCCCCGTAAATGGGGGAAACCTCCAAAAAAAATACAAATTTAAAAATCGCTAATTTTCGAAATTTTTTCAATTTTTTTTACTTAAAACTGCCATAACTTTTTCAAAAATGAATAAATCAATAGAATTTTTTTTTTTTATAGATGCTTGATATCTTTACCTATAATTTGGTATATTTTTTTTATAAATTTAACCCTTTAACACAGAGGGGGATTCAAAATGAGAACTTTTTCAACTTAACTTTTGAAAGTGTTCCGGAAATACTACCACTTATATATATATCTTAAATTAAAACTAATGTAATATACTTTATTATGAAAAAAAAAATTTCGGACTTTATTTTGTCTTCACGGTGAAAATGACTACCGTATGCTATTTTTGTGTTAAAATTCTCGATTTTATATTTTACATTTTTAACTTTAAAATGTTATAATTATTTATAAAATGTATGGATCAATACAATTTTTTTATGAGAAATAATATTTTTTAATTATCCTTTTTTCATTCAGGATATTAATAAGCAAATAGCATATCATGTAGCTTAAAATTAAACACTATCTAAAGATTTGCATCGAAGCGTTTTTTAATAGTCATTTTAATCACTGTCAGATATCATTATACTTGATACAACTATGCCACGACACCACTGTGCCGCGACTCCCCTGTGCTGGGATTTTTTTTCTGTGTAATTTTATAATTATTTTAAGTTTTAGAAAATATTTGTATACTATGCGCATACAATGGGCCCTGACACTTGCTAATTCATTAATTGACATAACATTCTATTTTCAATCCGATGCACGATTACTACAGATATTTCCTATAACCCCTAAAAATTCGGTACTGACTTGCATTATAATTTGTTTTGTAGAATATTATAACTGGTGATTCAAAAGGATTCATGAGATGCTACCACATTAAAAGTATGCCAGTTACTCCATTTCTTCAAGTAATTTAAAGTTTCTTAAATATAGAATAACAATTTTTTCTTTTTTAGCATCGATGCGAAACAAGAAGATATTAATTTAACTACCATGTGTGTGTTTTCTTTTGTGTCTGTCTCTCATTTCTTTTAAGTTATAATTGACCGATTTTTTCATAAACACGTTAAAAAAATCACAAATCATATCTTGTTGAAGAAATTACCCTCGAAAATTGAAAAAAAAAATTTCTTGTTCTCCGTACATCCTTATGAAATTACGACTTTTATATCAGTAAATTTCGACGTATTTTTTTTATTTAAAACTGACTATTTGTAAGTGAATGAATTAAAATAATTTTATTTTTTAAATATATATTCCTAAGACATTATTTTTTCTAATGTATACTTTTTTAGTTCTTTGGCGTTTTAACATAGGAATATTCAAAATAACGACTTGCACAGACAATTAACTTATTAACTTAATTTTTAGAAATATTACTTGATTAAATTAATTATTGCATATTAATGTTCTTTCTTTTTTCTCACTTTGATCCAAACTACTTGAGGTCGGCCACCCTTATCCTAAACTTCCACTTGACACGATCTCCTACATCATCTAAGGTCACATCAGCTGTCCTCATATTGCATTCAATAGCATCCCTCCATCTATTTTTGGTCTTCCTCTACCTCTTCTTCCTTCAACATTAATTTCTATAACTTATTACAGCTTCCTATTCCTTTCTCCTCATAATTTGACAGAACCATCTAAGTCTATTTTCTCTTATCTTATCTACGATTGACGCTACATCTTTACCCCCTCCTATATGTTCGTTCCTTATCCTATCTTCTCTAGTTACTATACTCATCTATCTAAGCATTCTCATCTCTGCTACACTCATTCTCTATTCTATTCTCTTGTCAACCACTCAACATTCTGAACCATACATCATAGATGGTCACTCTAAAGTCTTATAGAACTTACTTATCAGCCTCGTTGTAATTTTTTTATCACATGACATACCAGACGCTGTTCTCTACTTCAACCACTCGCACTTGTGTCTTACATTCTTGTCAATACAACCGTTCTTTTGTACAACTGATCCTAAATACTTAAAACTTTCCACCTTTTTTATCTTTTCCTCTCTTATTGTTACTAACCTTCTCATTTTACCTTGGTACAAGTGCTATCAAACATATCCTCTATTCTAGTAATGTATTTTTCTTATTAATGATCCTTTTTATTATATTAATAATCCTTTTCTTATTAATGCCAATTCTAAAACCTCTCTCGGTACTCTATCATACGCTTTCTCTAAATCTATAAATACCATACACAGCTTTTTCTTCTCTTCCCTAAATTTTTCTTTTAGTTGCCTCGCACAAAATACTGGCTCCATTGTTGACTTACCAAGCATAAATCCAAACTGGTTTTTAGATACCGATGTCTAATTTCTTATTCTCTTATCTATTGCCTTTTCCCAAATTTTCATACTAAGACTTATAAATTTTATACCTCTATAAATTCCACACTTCTGTATGTATCTTGTACTTTTAAATATCGGCACCACAATACTATGCCTCCGTTTGGAATTTTCCCTTCTAATAAGATTTTATTTAAAAGTTTCTTCAACTGCTTTATGCTAACACCATCTAATATTTTCTATACTTCTACTGGCACTTCATGTGGTACTAATGCTTTATTTTTTTTCATTGATACCACAGTCTCCCATATCTCTTTCTCATTAATTAAATCTACTAGTCTTTTGTTACACGAGATATCCTCTAATATCTCTTTTGGGTACTCCTCATTCAGTAATTTTTAAAAATACTCTTTCCACCTTTTTTTCATATCATCATCACTTGATAGCACCCTCTTATCAAAAATTTTTATACACCTTAAATAGTGATAGTCTTTTAACCTATTTTCTCTTAGTTGTGCAAGTCTATAGACTTTTTTCACTGCCTTTGTTCCTATAAGTCGTCATACATCTTAAACTTCGCCTTACTTACTGCACACTTGGCTTCTTTGCACAAGCATTTATACTCCATCCACTCTTATCTTCTTTTGCTCTTCTACCATACATTGAACTACTTTTTTTTACTCTCTATGATTTGTTGAACGTCCTCGTCCTAACACCAGATTTCCTTGTTTTCTGGAATTCTACACGTCATTATGTCGATTTTCCTCCTATGTTCTTTCTGTTTTTATATATTCTCTTCTCACTACACGAAAACTCCATTACCATCGGTCTATATTGTGTATTTACACTCTCGCCTGAGATAACTTTACAATTTTTTACTCGCTTTAAGCTCTCTCTCTTCCACATAAAATAATCAATCTGTGAACTATTAATCCCTCTCTTATAAATGATATAATGTTCTTTGCTGCTTCTAAAATAAGAATTAATTACAGTAAAATCATACAGTACTACAAATTCCAGGATTCTTTCTCCAGTCCCATTATTCCCACTAAACCATATCTTCTATGTACTCTTTCATATTTTTTCCTATCACCACGTCCTCATTACCAGGTATTCCTTGTATCACCTAATGTATCTCTCTCCAAAACACTTCCTTGACTATTTCATCACATCCTACTTGCGGTGCATAGTCACTTATCACATTCAACATTTTTTCCTCGAAAATTAATTTTACGAATATAATTCTATCACTTTTTCTAGCTAGTTCTACTACTTTAATTTTTATCTCCTCACTCATTATTATGTTATGTAAATATTTACAATAAATTTTATTTACTATGGTTGATCAACGATAAATTTTTTTGATATTGATATTATACCGAATTTTACTAATATTATATCGCAATATCGAAAAAAACCTGTTCCTGATATCGTATGAAAAAATAAACCTATATTAAAAAAGAATTATATTAAAAAATAAAATTTATTATTTAAATGTTTTCACCCATTTTTCAATCTTCAAGAATACTGATTAATTGTCATGTTTGTAAACATCAGCCCATGGTATATTAACCAAATCAGATAATAATATTAATGACAAAAACATAGATAATAGATAATAAGTGGAAATTCTTTACAGAGGATCCGAATAAAAAGATAATTGCGCATCGCAGTGGGCATCACGTTTGGCCGTCACGTATGGATTCTATATCACATGGTAATGAAACCATACGATTAGGGTGTTCGTGTTTCACTTACTGTTGTATTTAAATACATTAGAAAAGTACAAAAATCACTAGAAATCAAATTGAGAGAGTTAATCAGTCGTTGTGTAGAATCCAATCTTGCTTTTTTGAGATCAGTTCATCAATTCGGCTTGGTACTAGATCCTCCGAAAAAAGACCTATTTGCAATGATCAGGCAATTTTGCAAACCAACATTATTTCTTACTGACAATACGAAAGAAATTGGTTGGAAAAATTTGCTTCAAACTATTTATAAATTGAAAGATAATGGAATTTATATCTGAAGAATTTGTTGAAAATTTGCACTATCTAAAAAAAACAACACTTAACCATAAAGATTCTGTGACGTATACGGTTTACTTAAACAAATTAGTTGACGTTTTAATGATTATCTTGGAGTCACAAAAGAACTGCGTATTTGGTCAAAACTCCCTTATGTACTATCAATAAGAATTGAGATTTAACATAAAGGGGGTTCTCATGCTTACATTCTGTTATGACTAACAAATACCCCTTGTGATATCTTCTGTGAAAATAAAGCGGACGCAATAAAATTTATTAATGAATAATATCAGTATATGAAAATGAGTGTCTTTCTGATGTGTCAAGTCAAGTAGCTGCATGGTACCTACTATGGGAACCCATATTCAAAAATTCAGTCGTTACTGTAAAAATTCCAAAAGTATGATATTCTAAACAACAACGTACAAGAAAAGCTAATAATGTTCTAGTTAAAATGTACATCGATGGGAATTCCACTGACAAATGGTAAGAGAATTAGTTTGATGAATATGAAAAAAGGTACGAAGATTCGGAAGAAATTCCATATAGTTTCTCATATAGTTCGTATACAAAAAAGAAACAACCTTGCATTATTCGTTTTAGAAATTATGACATGACTTAAGTCTTAAACAAATAGAAACAAGAAATAGTAATCATACATTTTCTAAAATATTTTTCACTAACCCTGTTGGGTGTGGAAAAACGTTTGTTATAAAATTAATAATGGAAATTTATAACCGCTATATGGATAACGATGGCCACTTTAATTTGTACATAACTTATGCATCAACAGGTGAAGCTACAGTAGTGATAAATGGAACCACAGTTCATAGGTCATTTAAAATATGTAAATACTCTAATACAATCACGATTTTTTCTTAAAGATGAGATTAATACACTGTGTCTAATTGGAATTTGTATCTTTATCACGAACCACTCAGTTTATGGGTACAACCACCAGATTTTAAGCGTTGCTAAAGAAAAAATTCTTTCAACAGCAAATCGGAAAGCTCTCTTGTGATTAAAAGTCCATAATTTGTTACTTATCCATACAGATGAATTACCATATTAAACAATATTTATCCAAATATCCATTATTTCATAACCACCAATATAGACGTAACTAACGGCTTGGTAAATGGAGCCGTAGAAAATCTAGTTCATCTTAAATGAAGTGAAGCTGGAGAAGTGACTATTCGAGTGTGGCTCGATTTTCTTCATTACCCGAATTCCAAATGTAAAATTATACAAATATAAAACTTCTTATACTACGCCCATACAAGTACTCCTAAATCCTTATTCAGTACAGCCCCGTGCTACTGTCTTAAAATTTATTTATCTACATTTAAGTAAAAATTAATATCTCCCCTACGAGTACATTATCTAACCCAAATAATATAAATAAATTGTTGGTTAAAATGAACAAAGTTATTTAATTTTATATAACTTTAGTTAGAATGTATTAATAATACATTACTGTTTTTAGAAAAGTAAATTCTTAAACTCAAAATGTATTAATTTAATAATTTATTACATTAGTGGCAAATTGAAATATGCAAATAAATAATAGTTTTAAATTTTAGTATGATAAAACTTAATACGTTAAAAATTGAAATGTTTCAGAAAGAATCATTTGTAACGGCTTTGAAAAATGTAGTACCAGCCACTCCAGGTATAGAACAAATAATTAAAAGACTATAGAGGACGAATAATACAGTACTTGAACAATGTATACACTCAAATTTTTTAATATAAAAAATATAATTAATTAAAAAATTATTATTTTATACAGTAAAGAAAACAAAAAAATTGAGATATATTTTTTAACCATTTAATTATAGAATGGAATAGATTGTTTAATAATAAGACATTTAATATTGTTTGTAATATAAGAATATATAGTGTAAAAACACCTACAACGTCATCGAGTCATAGTAAAAAATTTGTCATTTTATTCCATAGCATAATATTACTAAATGAACGTAATTTATGTATCAGACTTTTGTTTGTATACACTCAATAATTTATTTTAAATACCTTTTGCTGTATCTAGGTTTAAAACTTTAAAATATCCACTCTTACCATCTACCATTAATCATTTTTGTTGTTCTAGAATTAAACACAATTATGTTTCACTCGGCAGTCCGTTTAATTATTTGAACTGGGTTAACTTCAACTTCAACCGTCGTAATATCAACAATGGTTTGATTTAATATATGAATAAAACATGCAACATGAAACATGAAAATTTCTAGAATGATTTATCATTAATTTAACTCAATAACTTTTTATCTATCTCTATCTCTTACGTTTATTAATAAAGAATAAAACAATTTTTTTTAAATAATAATTTTTAGAAACAATAATTACGTAATTATCGTTTGAAGATAGACTACGTGCAATTTATAACGTTAGTATAAAATTGAAAACTCATGTAAATTTAAAAAATACTTTTAACATATTACTTCTGAAACAACAATAGAATTGCTTTAATAACGGTTTTAAAATGATACACTAGCCTCACAGTACGCTTTGTTATTTTTAATGAGTGAAAGCTTAATAATTTAATTTGACAGTATATAACTTCGTACATAGTTTTTTAATTAATAAATATTTAAATTAAACATGAAAAGATAAAAATAAAACAAAGTAATGCAATAACAATAATTGCTTTCAGTCAGTTAAATAAAAAAATGTATGCATCTCAGTAGCATATTGAACGTTCCAAAACAAAAATAAATAGTTGTTTTATTTAAAATATATCTAGACTAGTATATTTCAAAATGGGCACTTTAAGTTTGTGAGTTTTAGAGCGCTCTTCCCTACCTTTGATACAGGCCAAAATAAATCTTAGGGGGACTAGTCAGTCACATTACTTAATAAAAAAGAAATGCATTTTTTAAAAGTATAAATTATATCCACTCGAAATTGAAAATTATAAAAATTAAATATACCTGTAACTACTGAAATTACGATGTTTGTTTAATTTGTTTAATATTTTCAATGATAGAGACAGTAAAGTTTATTAAAATATATTTGTTCTCGCTAATTATATTTGCGTAATTAACTTTTAATATACACAATTTCTCTAATATTGTTTATAATAAGCCTCTTCCATTTCTAATCCATGAAAAAAGTTTAAATAAAGAAATGGTTTTAAGTAAATCTTTATGAAGCCCTTAATAATTAAACATATGGATAAATTCATATGTAAAATTATGTTTCAACTATGGTACTAACGATAGAGCTTAAAAACAGGAACATCCCGAAGCTAAAAATATGGGGGTTCACAAATTTATTCTTACCGATTGAATATTTTTTTTAAATTGTGCGACTATTCTCTAAAAATTATTTTTTGATAGCATCCTCTTTCTGTAAAAAAATTACCGATTAAAACAACTAGATTTTGTCAAGTGATCGGTGTGACACACCCATTCTTCTCTTGAGACAGCCTTGCTCTAAAGTCAAACAGGATTCCTTATAATAAATATAATAAGGTTTACGTCTATAATATAATAACAAGGTATGTTGGTTAGTATTTTGATTTCAACTTAAATAAAAATGATTGATAAGTGCTATCACTTACTATTGATTTAAAAATTTATATTGAAATCCGGGGTTAACAATTTTACAACGTGGACTGGCACACTTAGAATATTGTATTGACGAGTTTATTTATTTGAGTAAATTACAAGAGAAATATTATTTATAAATTAGGGTTTAACAGTTATTCTATTTTTATTTTGATTACTTAAGTTCAGTTTAATTCTAAACTCGATGATAAATATAAAAGTATGTTTATTTTTGTTAACTAACTAAACTGAAGCCAAATTAAATAAGTGTGATCAATATAATAATAGAGCTTATTTTATAATAATGTGTTCCAGATCTCAAATTTCTTTTTAACCCTTTTGGTTAGAACTAATATAAAACTTTGGTCTGAGAAATTCCAAGAATTATTTTTGATTTTAATTTTGATATTTACTAAAAATTTTTCCAAAATAAGATTTTATTTACGTAGGAAAATAGAAATTATTAAAATTTTAGTCATAATTTAATCATGGAGTATGTAAAATTAAAAATTATACTTTATAATGTTACTTCACTTTAAATAATTATTTTATTTATAATTTTGTAAAGTTTTCTATGTAATTTCTAGGTCAATTGATGGTTAAATAATTTAGGTATAAAAAATAAATAAAATTATTTTGGTTGTCAATCGTCTTTAAGGTCAAACTGTGGGTATATTGTCTATTGTTAAAATAAATGTATTAGTTTACCTTGTAAAGGTATAATATACATATATATGTGTGTGTGTCTGATAAAAAGATCTATTCAACTATAAAATTGCTTATTATTTCAAAGATGTAACTTTAGTTTTAAGTGTTTAGATCTTGGAGGGAAATCTATGTAATCATAATATTATTATTAACCTTCCAAACTATACTTGACAATTCAAATATTACTAGATGTATTCAATTTGATTCATTCATATTTTAGTTGTAGTGTATAATAGTTTTTATTAAATAAATTTCAGATTTTGAACAAATTTAATAATAATCATGTCACAAGGGCCAGCATTAATTTGCAAATTATTAGCATCATCTGTATCAGTAACTCATAAAGCTGGTAAAATAATTCGTGATGTTATGTTAAAAGGTGATTTAGGAATAATTGATAAGGTAAAATATTTATTTCAAATTATTAATCACTAAAATTTTTCCTACTTATATTGTACAATATTATATAGTGTTCAGTAAGTAAGGAAATGTGATTCTATTGTTCTCATTGTTAGTAACAACTGACCTGTTTCCTTACTTACTGAACACCTGTATAATGAGATTATATATTTAAAAATGTCAATAATTTATATTATTTCAATTAATTGTAAGTAGTGAATTTTTAATTTTTGTTTATCAAAATTTGAATTTTGATAAATTATAAATACTTATAATTTTCCCAAAAATGTGCCATAATAATTAGTCATAATTTTTACGTTTGTATATTGATAACATCAATAAAACTAAAAGATTTTAATTTTTTTTTGTTTAAATACTTATTAGGGTGAAAATGATTTACAAACTGAAGCTGATAGATCAGCGCAACGGTGTATAGTAGCTTCATTTAAGAATTTGTATCCCAATATTAAAATAGTGGCAGAAGAAGTTGATAAATCAAGTTCTAATCTAAATGTTCCTGAAGATTGGTTAATAACTGAACTAGATTCAAATATCCTAAATTTGCATTGTCCACCAGAATTAAGTAACATTAAAGAAGATCAAGTATGTATTGCACAATAACATTATCAATAATTTATTAATTTACAGGGGGTCATAATAGTTGAAACACATCGTAATTTTTAAAATCTAAAATATATTATAATTGTTTTTAGATAACTATTTGGGTTGATCCATTGGACGGAACTTCAGAATTTACAAAAGGTATCAATCTTAAATTGAGTAAATTTCTATTAATTACAAGGTTACTGGGGAAAAACTATTGGATGTATGAATAAAGCATTCAATATTTTTTCTACATTATTCCTTTGAAAAAATAGAATTTTTTTTAATTTAACAGATTTTAATTTTAAATAATTATCTAGGTCTAGTTGATCACGTTACAACATTAATTGGTATTTGTGTGGATAATGATGCAGTTGCTGGTGTAATTTATCAACCATTTTGGCAAAATAAAGGACGAGCAGTATGGGGATTAGTTGGCCATGGAATTGGTGGTCTTGAAATAAAAGATCCACCTACAAATAGAAAAGTATACGTGACTTCTAGAAGTCATTATGATAAAGCTATTGAAACATTTATTGATGGATTAAAACCATGTGATGTTATTAGAGCTGGAGGTGCTGGAAACAAGGTATTTTATACCCTAATAATAATTGCTACCTTTAATAATAATTTCTTTTCAATGAGCTAATACTCCTATAATAATCTAGTAGCAAGAATTAAATTACTAAGTTTTATTTTATTTTTTAAATTAAATAGAGTGATTAAAAGAAAGAACATGGTCATCAAAATTTGAGAAAAATGTTATGAATAAGCATTTAATTTAGAAAATATGGCTATAAAAATAAATATGTATTATAAATTTCTATTTGAATTAAAAAAAATTGTACAACTCTCCCTTTGAAAAAAATGTTTATATACATTACTAATAATGACTAAATATCAATGAATAAACCTGTTATATATCATCTTATTTACTAGAACATTAATAATTTTAATATTATTATTTACTATTTAAAATGAGCCTAGAAATAAACAGACAATACATTTTACTTTCTCTAACTATAACCTGTACAAAGTTCACTTGCCACCTCTAAGTATCACTTTTGGTTTTTAGAATTCTCTTAAAAACAGTTGCCTAGAATATATTTTATATTAACAGTAACTCATGTTCAAATTAAAATATTTGGTAACAAAGATTGTATTTTGTTGTATTAGTTTTATTTTGTTAGTAACACGAAAAATTTTAGGAGGTGCAGAATGACACTTGCATACATCTTTGTTATCAAGACTCCCATCGCTTCATTAATAAAAATACCACATATCTATTTTTTTTTCTATTTTTCAAAAAACCAAAAAAACTAAAAATATCTATTGTAAATATTCATCTAATTTTAAAACATAAATTTAAAAAGTGAATGGTATGAAGACATTGAACATTTAAAACCATAAAAATAGATAATTGTAATAAGTTTAGTGTAGCTATGTGTTATTTTTTATTTTTAGTATTAACTTTATTTTTTTTAGTTTCACTTAAAATTTAGTGAAATAGGTAAAATTAGTAACTTATTAAAAAATAGTTTGGAAATCTTATTTTTAAAATTGTGTGAGATACATGGTATTGTTATTTTAACATCCTATGTTATTTTTATTTGTATGTTTTGATCATATGTACATAGGAAATGCAACAGTTAACCACAGGAATAGAGCAAAGACGCAATACTTTATTTAATACATATACATTTAATCACACACAAAAGCCCTGTTACATATTCACAAACAAAAATAATATATACAGGGTGTTCAGTAAGTCAGGAAACGGGTTTCTATTGTTCTCATTGTTTGTAATAATGAGAACAATAGAAACCCGTTTCCTGACTTACTGAACACTCTGTATAAAGCAAAATATACGTATGAATTAAAATGCACACAAAAGCACGTCTTAGCCGACTCACGACTTAATTTAATTTTCCCTTCTTATAATACTTAATGATACTCCTATGTGCCTCCAGACCCTGGAAGTGGTGCCATCTAGACACCAATGGTACTCACATGTATGTATTATATTATAAAATTAACTTCTTTTTTATTCAAAAATCTTAGGTACACCACTAAGAGTAATGAGGATATTATATATTTTCAACTAAAATTAAATTAAATGTTTAAAAGTAAAATATTACTAAAATATCATCATAAATATTTCTAGGTTCTTTATGTTTTGGAAGGAAAAGCCCATGCTTATGTTTATCCTAGTGCTGGTTGTAAAAGATGGGATACAGCAGCACCAGAAGCTGTATTGCGATCAGCAGGTGGAGAATTAACTGACATGTATGGGAACAAATATAGCTATAGCAAAGAAAATGAAAAAGATCCTTTGAATAAACATGGTGTTTTTGCCACTTCTCCAAAATATAATCATACAGAATTCATGAAATTGATAAGTCATATCCGATCAAAATTAGATTAGTTTATCAATTAAATCAAATGAACTCAAAATAATTTGTACAATAAAATTTATTTTAAATATTGATATTCATATTTTAATGTTTAAGATTTTTATAGTTGATATTTGACAAAATCACACAGCTTTTAATAAACAATTTTTTTTTTTTTGTAAAATTTTTACTCATTTATTTTTATAACTTTATTATAAATATTTGCATTCATGTGTAATATAGTTTGAAAAATTATTATTTTTGCTTTGAAATGTGTGAATATTTGCTTAAGTGAAATTATAAGAAATATTAGACATTTCTCTATCATATGAATAACATTAGATTCCCACTAATACTGTAAACTTTCATGATTTTACATGAGCATATTAGTTGTAGGATAAAGTATACATTGGTGATTATTATTGATATTTAATAAATCATAAGGTTTTTAAGATTGGGAAACTGGTAAATTTCAAACTTCATGCTGTCATAATTAGAAGTATAAACTATGTATTACATAAAAAACACAAATACAAATGTTAAAACAAAACTTGGTTATGTGACTTCATTTTATTATTTGAGTATTTTTTTAATAAAAATTTTAGTATTAGTTCATAAAGAACTTATTGTCTACGTCATAAGACGTATGGATCAATTAAATAGAAACAAAATATTCAGACAGAATACCACAAAAATTGTAATTAAGTGAAATAATAATATTTAGACTCCTCTAAAAATATTTATATAAAAGTATCGGAAGACTTTAAAATTTCAATTTAATTAAAAGTTTAAATTATAATTTTTTTTTATAAAGACTGAAAACTGTAAAAATTTACCATTTAATACTCTGAAAATTATTTATAGAAATATATTTTCAATCTATATAGTTATTAATTAGACTACTTTTAAAGGTTCTTGTACTTCAACATCATGTTAATTTTTCAAAAATAAAAATTTAAAAAATACTTTAGTTTTGCTTGAAGTGTTTGAGGATATATCCATGTTTGCAGTTGAGTTCTGACGTTTCGGACTCATTGCAGAGTCCATCTTCAGAGTGATGGTTGCTAATCGGTGGCTGCAACTATACTCAGTATATTATAGTATTATCTGAAGATGGACTCTGCAATGAATCCGAAATGTCAGAACTCAACTGCAAACATGGATATATCCTCAAGCAATAAGACAATCCATGAAAGCTTTAATAACACATTCATACTTTAGTTTTATAAAAAAAAATAAAACATTTTTTTAAATAAATTTATATATATATTGTTAATTTTTAACCAATGATAATACTTTTATAAGTATTTATAAATAATTCAATTACTGTAAAAAAGAAAAAATATATATATATATATAATAATGGGGAATGAATATAGGAAAATTTATATACAAATCAAACAAAGTATTTAAAATTAAGTTCTATTAAATTTTCCCCATATATGTAACATAAAAACAGATGCAATGAACAGCAGTGACATCACCAAAACAGGAACAGGACCACTGAAAAGACAAAAAATAATTTTTATTATTATAAACTGATAGATAACTAGAAAAAAAATTATTTTTGTAAAAAAAAATGATAATTTATTCTTACACTTTAATTCCAGGAGAGTCATCAGTGTAAAATCTCCACATACCACCACTGCTAGTACCAGTGTTACGATTTCTTACCGATGTAGTAGGTGCAGTTGTTTTTCTAAAATTCATAATCATTATATTAGATTGTTATACAAAGTTTGTAATAAAGTTTTACCTTTGCCTAAGTACATTTCCTGCAGTTCTAGATGCGCCAGGTTTTGAGGGGGATCTAGGCCCACTAGTGGCCGACTGCATTGCACTTGGAGGGACAGGCTAAAGTAAAAATAAATATAATTAACATAATAAATAAAGTACAACAATTCCATCACTAAAAATATTAGCGTAATAATCAATTTTTATTTTTTTATATAATTTTATCAGAATAATTTATAGAGTAGTATGTAAAAATATATATTTATCTCTCTAAATTGTTTTAAATTTATTTATACATTTTTTTATATATTAATAATTTGAGAGAATAAAATTTTAACATGTTATATGTAACTGAGAAGCAAACAGGTCACGTCCATACTACAACTACAATAATACAATCTTGTGATATATAAATAAATGTATCATAATATGTTTTGTTTTAGAAGTAAAATACAACTTCAGTTATATTAACTAGTAATACTATTTTCAATAGTTCAAAATATTATAAACATAAATAAATATTCTCGCCCTAAATATCTATAGAGTATCAAAAAATATTTCATGAAAACTTTAGCTAATAACAACACAAATTTAAACAAATATTCACAAAAATATCTCGATTTTAGAAACATCATTGTGTTTATCAATTTAATGAAAAATATGGAACAAATCGTATAAGTCAAACGTAAGATGAATGGATCAACTTAAAATAATATATAATGATTACGTTTACTTCGCAATTAATACTTTTAGTTTAATATTATTATTTTGTTACTTAATAATATTAAGATATAACAAAATATTGTATTATTAAGAAATATATAATGACCTTTTTACAATAAATAAATTTAATATCTTACCATTTCAAACAATTGGATGCAATAGACAAACTATGATTAAACTTAAATTGAATAACTACTGAACTATTAACTGTACTCAAACACCGCAAGAATTCCCCAAGTAGGACAATGGTGTGTTTACGTGTTTTAACAGACGAATGCAATCTACACTTATCATTGGACACGTTGTCATGATACGATAAATGGTCAATATCTGATAACAGCGACGTGGAAGACGTAATTACTACAAAGAGCCAACAAATCATACTATTAAAGAATAAAGTTGAACGGCACTACCAACTTAATTTTACTATATTACGAAGTTTTAACGGTTGCCCTATGATATAACAGATTTTACAAATAAGTTGTAAAATCTCAAAAATAAAATAATATTAGAGTTGTAACAACTCAAATATTATTAATATAATTGTTCAATATTGTCTTTTAGAACTATAGACATGCTTAATTTAAAACTAGTAATTTCGCGGTTGAGTAATTGTTTAGTGTTTAGTAGTGCCTAAAAAGTTATAAACGCAAATAAAAATAATTTATAATATTTATCATACTTAATAAAAAAAAACACATTATTTTTCTAAGTTAATGTTAAAGAGAAAATTATTAGTCATTAAATAAATTCAATTTATAAAAATGAACTTTTTTATTGACAAATGAAAAATATCTTGTTTAGAGCTTCAGCGCTTAGAGCTATAATTTACTTACAGAAATAACATTTTAGCTTTTTATACAAAGGTGAGAAGTTTTAATATCATTTTACTATGATTTGATTTTTTGTGCTTATCACTATTTTTTTTCTGTATACGCTGGAACAATTTTTCAAAACGATACATTAAAAGATCAAAAATCGTGTCTACTTGAAAATATTATCCTTCAAAATTGAAAAAAATTCTCTCGTTCCTATAAATGGTTGAAATCCTCCTAAAATTTACGATTTTTAAAATAAAACACTATCAACAGATTTGCTTCGAAGCGTTTTTTTATGATCAACAGATATATTTGTTCCAACCATAAAGTAATATTACTCTATAGTTCCAACTATGCTGCATCCCCATGTGCTTGATTTCTTTTTTTTGTAATTTATTTCTATTTTCTAAATCAATTTTTGCACTGATTTAAAATGAGCGATTAAATAGATTTTTTCTATCACTTTTAATTTTGAGATTATTACTTATTAGTAAAACACAAATATTTACATATAAAAAAATAACATATCATAGTAAAATTAATACCTTCTCAGCTTCACATCGAAGCTAAAAATAACCTAAGAAATATAGGTTAAAATGAAATAATTCAACAACACATTAGCGTATAAAACCATAGATAGTGAAACTAAGCCCGGAATATTCTGAATATTAGTAAATTATAGAATAGAACTATACGGAATATTTCAATTACATACCAAAATAATATTTTTTATTTAAATTTGGGGATCGTCTACACATAAAATAAAGTCGTCAGGGCAATTTTTTTCTATAATGGGACACCTGGTAGTTGTGAAACACCAAAGCTATTTTGTGTTTTTAAAATGCATGAAAGAATGATTTATTAAAGAAAAGTAAAAATCCTTAAAAACTGATAAGATCTAATTATTTTAATCAGTTACCTCTGTTGTATCTTAAAAAGAAACAACCCTTTTATCTTAACTTAAAGTAATAAAAGTTCAATAATAACGCAAATGTAATTTTTAAAGACATAATCAAACAATGTAAAACATACAAAATAAAAATACACTTAAAACAGAATAAATAAATAATACACAAAATGAAAACTTAATGTCATAAATGTACCACGCGAAAAGAGATTACCTTCGGTAATCCCGAGGTCTTCTCTCCTTTTCAATTCATTCAATTTCGTTTTATATACTAAAATATTTTCTTTTTTTTTAACAAAATTCATAATACAATCGTTTTCAAAAATGTTTATAAATATTTATTTCGTGGTCTAGTAACAATAATTCAGGGAATTACAATTAATCCAAACATCACAAAAATATTTTACTTCTAACTTAACAAATAATAAACTACATTTTATTTAGAACAATAGATCAAGAAAATACAATTAAACCAAATATTACAAAAATGTTTTACATTCGGTTTTACAAAATAATGACCTATATTACACCTCTATAATAGTAATTTTCTATGCTGCCTCTGTCACTATTATCACAAATAAGATAAAGCTTAATTTTATTAATACTATTTTTGTTGAATAGAATAGGTTATGTAATTAAAAGATTTAGAAATTATTCGTAATATAATAGTGCAAACAGCAATATAAAATATCAAAACATATAAGAGATGTACAACGGCAACGGGTTAATTCACTTGATAGACAGCTAAACTACGACTAAATTGTAAACATGTGTACAATAGACTGTATTGAGTAAAACAACATAATCGAAAAAGAAAAGTGTCCCTTTTGACCTTGTACTATACTAACATAAGTAAAAATACATTAAAATGTTATCTTAAATAATATTACTGTACCCAGTGTGTTCTTTAATAATATCAACACTTCCCCTTAAACAATACACCCATACATAGTTGATTAAAAAAAAACCAAACGCAGCACAAGGGGGTCGCGGCACAGTGGTGACGTGGCATAGTTGGATTAAGTGTAATGATATCTGACAAAATGTTTTTCTCCATAGTAAAGTACATCACATTATCTTTAATTTAAGATATATATAAAAGTATCAGACTTTCCGGAACATTTTCAAAAGTTAATTTGAAAAAGTAAATTTTATGTAAAAAAATTGTCATTTTAAATCCCCCTGTGGGCGGTAAAAGGGTCAGATTTATAAATAAAATATACCAAATGATAGGTTATAACATCAAGCATTTATAAAAAAAAATTATATTGATTTGGTAATTTTTAAAAGAGTTATGATAGTTTTATGAAAAAAAAACCCCAGCACAGGGGGGTCGCAGTACAGTGGTGACGTAGCATAGTTGGATCAAATATAGTGATATCTGACAGTGATTAAAATCACTATAAAAAAAAACGCTTCAATAAAAATCTTTAGATAGTGTTAATTTTAAGAAATTGGTGGATTATTCCAAAAATTATCTTCTATTTTCTTATTAATATCCTGAGTGAAAAAGGGATTATTAAAANTTTAAGAAATTAATTTTCTTAATTGAAGAAATTTTAAGAAATTGGTGGATTATTCCAAAAATTATCTTCTATTTTCTTATTAATATCCTGAGTGAAAAAGGGATTATTAAAAAATATTATTTCTCATAAAAAAATTGTGTTGATCCATACACTTTTCAATAATTTATAGCATTATAAAGTTAGAAATGTAAAAAATAAAATCAAGAATTTTCACACAAAAATAGCATTTGGTAGCCATTTTCACCGTGAAGACAAGTCCAGAGGTCAAATTCTTTTTTCTATAATAAAGTACATTACATTAGTTTTAATTTAAGATATATATAAAAGTGTCAGACCATCCGGAACACTTTCAAAAGTTATTTTTCGTGATAAAGTTGTCATTTTAAATCCCTCCCTGTGGGCATTTACGGGGAACGAGGGAAATTTTTTCAATTTTTGAGGGTAATGTCTTCGACTAGATACGATTTGTGATCTTTTGACATATTGTTGAAAGAAATCCGTTCGGTGAGAGCTGAGAAAAAGTGATAACAGACAAAAAAAAAAAAAAAACACATCATAGTAAAAGTCATTCGCATCGAAGCTAAAATTACGGTTAAATGGAATATTTTGAAAATTTCCTCCCACAAAGCGAAAAAATTTCTAAAATTTAAACTAGCTTTAATCATTCTTTTTATCGTCTTTCAAGTACAACAAGCTATTGTCGAGTTAATAAAACTAGGTTCGTGTGGAATCACAGATTCAAATTCCACGATGGGAGGGGTGTGTTTTCCATTTTTGTCTTAATTTTTAAAGATATTTTATGTAATTATAAAATTTTAAAATTATACTTGAATTTTAAAATGAAGTAATTTTTTAATTTTTTATATAACATGATAGATTTTAACTAGTCACTCATATTTTATTGTTACAGTTATTACTTTCAAATAAAACACGTTTTCTGAAATGAAGAGTTTAACGTAATGGGAAAGAGACAGAATTGCCTATTTGAGTGGAAAGAGAGTTGCCATGCCATCAGCCATATGAAAATGATTTTATTATTTTATTTACCCTCTTCTGGTCATCTTTTCTGGGGGGGCATTTTCTCTCTTGTCCCTCTAACGTGCTCTCACCTATAGCTTATGATACGCTAAAAGAAAGACTTTTTAAGGTGTCTGGGTACCGACAGTTTTTTAGTCAAAAACAACCCGTCTTTGTTCCATCACTTAAACGAAATTATTGATGCGATAAGAATTCTGAAAACAGATCTGAATTCAGTATCATGTGAATTAAGTATCGGTCAGGCCACTTTTTTGAAATGTTTTTTTTTTTTTATGTACAATTTACATTTTTGAAAATTTTAATTTAATCAAAATAAATTTTTACATTGAAAAAATTACAATAAAAAAAAATGATCTAACCGATACTTAAGTGATATGAAGCTGAATTCAAATCTGTTATCAGAATTCTTATCCCATCGGTAGTTTCGTCGTACTGATGGAACAAAAATGAATGTTTTGTAAGTTCAAACAAATGATTTACAAACAGTAGCTATTATTTTTGACATGTTCGAGCGCTTATGTGCGTTATCCGCAGCAGCTATTTTATTACCCATAACTGCGTAGGGTATACCGACTGCCCAAAAATAGTTAAAAATTAATACACACTTGATATTACACATGTATATATGATTTTTGATTATTTGCTTTTATCAAATTACCGACAAAGCTATCATTGCATAGTACAAAACAAATTTTATTGTTATTTTCCAATATTTAAGTGTCGCTAAAGAAATGGTGAAATAATACCGCCTCCAAAAAAAAAAAAAAGAATAAAGATAATGTATCAACATTGGATAAGTGGAGCAATAAAAAAAACATCTGGTGAAGGCACGTGTGTATAAATATAAACTTCATACATTTTCTTAACTTCGATAAAAAACTGAGAAGTTAATAGTTTTACTATGATTTGTTTTTTTTTTGCGCCTGGCCATATCTGTACCTACTGACTGTTATTGTTCAACGATATGTCAAAAAATACACTTAGTTGATGTATTCAACAGTAAAATGTTATTAATTTAGCTTTAAATCTGACACAATAACGTGTTTTTCTCAGCCGCACATATGTTATCAACCTAAGTAACTTTTGCTATGAATATTTATTTTCAACATATTTGTAAATGGCTTGATCATCAAATATATAATACTTGCTTAAATTATAAAAGTAAATTTTAAACTACATCCAATAAAAAAAAAGTAAATGATTTAAAAAAAAGCTGGTCAGACATGAGCCTGTCAGATAATGAGATATAAACCATATTTAGAATAATATAAAGTGCTTAGAATGTAAGAGGTTTAAGTGATACTTCAAAAAATAATATGTTTTAGGTGCACAGTCAGACTGAAAATTAATAGTTTTTATTAATAGATAGGCAATTGATACAATTGTAAAAAAAAAAGAATTATTAAAATATGGAGTAAAATTTGGCCACTTATAGAAAAGTTCTACGTGGATTTTCCATTACTAGAGATATTTGATTTTCATTTTGACAACGGACTTCCCATAAAAAGAGGCTTATAAAACATAAACATTATACCGTGTAATTTTGTAAATTGAATTTTTATAACTCAAATTAAAGTTTTTTTATTAATTTTGAAACTTCAAAATAATTGATGTGTATATCATGATATAACGTCTTTACTGTAGATTTTTAATTTTTCATACTCGTTGAAAATAAATAANTATTAATTTTGAATCTTCAAAATAATTGATGTGTATATCATGATATAACGTCTTTACTGTAGATTTTTAATTTTTCATACTCGTTGAAAATAAATAATTTATATAACTTTATAACCAATTAAAATTTGTGAAATCATGACGCATCTATAAGTATTTGCGGTGGGGCTGGTGTTGAACTATGGTTTTTGTACTGAATAAAATAAACGTGCATCGTTATTAAATTAAAAGAGAATCGTATTGCATTAAAAGGCAGATACACAATTCAGTTTCGTTATTAACTAAACATGACGGAAATACTCCAAGAATGCACACTCACACAAATAATCATTTACTTGTCACGCAAGACATTAAAAACTACGAAATAGCCTAAATTTGACCCTTGAAAAAAGGTGGGTACGTCTTAAGTATATATTTTCCAAGTGGGGAATACGTCCTTTCTCTTCTCACTTTAATAAGAACCCAATTAACGTATGATACATTACAAAATAAATGTTTTTAAAAATCGTATTTTTCAGAGGACATGTCCATTGTTTTCCCTCCTAATGGGCATCCATGCATACTCAATAGGTACACGAGGTAAGAAAGAGGGGTGATCGTCGTTATACCAATAAACAATCTGACTTGTAAAAAATTGTTCACATCAAAAATTTAAGAATAAAGCTTTGTCAGTGGATGATTTTTTAATTTAAAAACGCAAATTACAATTTTTAAGCATGTGGCTGATGTATGAATTTTTACTGCAAGTTATGCATTTTTTTTTTGTAGGTTATGCATTTTTNAAAAAATTGTTCACATCAAAAATTTAAGAATAAAGCTTTGTCAGTGGATGATTTTTTAATTTAAAAACGTAAATTACAATTTTTAAGCATGTGGCTGATGTATGAATTTTTACTGCAAGTTATGCATTTTTTTTTTGTAGGTTATGCATTTTTTAGTGTAGATTATTCGTTCTCATTAGAAGTTATGCATTTTTACTACATAAAATGATAAGCTATAATTTAATATTCATCTAATATTTTTTTGTACTTAATTAGTTAACTACATTATAATGGGCAATATTTTTTGAACCCGTTTTTTTTTAATATAAATGATTATTGACAATCATAGTGACATATCTCAGTCGTGATTAATGTAGGAAATCTACTGAATTAAATAAAATCGTTATTCTATTGTTGTAAATTATGACATTTAACTAAAAATATTCTTTAAGTCTTGTTTGTTTTATTGTCCTACCTAAAGAAAAAAAAATTATTTTAGTGATTTAAAGATATAGTACACTTGAAATGGGAAAAATTATAATCTGTTTAAATTAATAATGATGGAAAAAATAAACTCATGAGATAAAAAAAATAACAAATTATCCATATTATCCGTTATTTTATGTTACAATTACACGGTATGACTAAATATCACTTTTCTACTAATGGCATATGTTAAAGAAACACTGTGTATAAAGGGATCTACTGATATCTATAGAAAAAATTAATTTTTGTTGCCATTTACTCGTTAAGTTTTCAGTTTTAAAACAATAAAAACAAATAAATAAATATTGTATATTAATTAGTTATTGTGTTATAATTTTAATAGTATTTATAAATTAAAATTGTTTATTTCACACTATAACAAAATGGTACAATTAAAAAATTGACATGATTCATTGTTCAGTGTAATATTAAAAAAATTAACTCTTAAGTACACAAAATGTATTATTAAAGTTTTATAACTACTTAGCACAATTATATGACAGAGATCATAAAAACAAAAGAAATATTACAATAATATCACAATGTTTATTGATTGATGGTAAAAACTAGTGTAATTTTACAATACTTTTATCTAATATAAAAATAATGGTATATTTTAGGTTTGTTCAGGTTCCTTATTTTTGAGAGAGTATTTAAAAATAAGTGATTTGGAATATCAGGATTATGAAAAAATTTTCCCAACTTTTATTATTATTTTTTCTTTTAATATTTTGTAATTTAAATATAATTGAATCAAACTTTTATTTATTTTTATGATATAGTAGTTATAGTAATATTATATTAAATATCAATGAATATCCTAATAATCTTTATAAAACAAAGATTTATTTAAGGAAAAATGTTGTACAAAAATAAATTAGCCTATATTATTTAAACATTTTTTTGGTGGCATTGTTGATAAGATCACAAAATATGCAAAAACTATCATGATAAAAACCATATCATAAATGATTTTGACAATTTTATAATTTATAATAGCAAATAAAACCCAATGAGTGAATCATATTCAATCTTAAAAATGTCAACCTAAACAATCCTAGTATATCCTATAAACATTAAGGTTGGAACTTTCTACAACAAGTTCTATAATTATTGCACTTTAATTCAGAAAATAAATTAGTTTTATAAATGCAATACTACTAAAAATATTGTTACTGTACAAAAATTATTACATCACTCTTTGTTTATCTAACATAATAACTTATTTTAAGTTAAAAATTTCTAAAAAAAAGATGCTTATAATGCATATCTTTTACATGTATTAATTTTCATAAAAACACCAGTAAAAAAACGTTAGTTATCAAAATGATACTAATAAAATATAATACTTAATAATAAATTTAAGAAAATAAATTAAAATACTTTCTTAATGAGAATAATATAAAATTTTTAAATAAATATAATACTTAATTTTTCAAAAATTGTATTGACGTTAAGTAAAAAAGTTAAGTAGACAAGTTTCTAAGTAGTCAATAATAATAATTGGCAAACAACATCACTTCTTCATATACTAATCACAATTGGTTTCAATTAAGTAATCTAACAGACTTCAAGAATACAATGCACTAAGATTAATGGTATAAAACTCGATCAGACTAACGATAAATTACTCTAAATAAACTTAATAATAACAATAATTCAAGATATAAATAATAAGATATGTTATTAAAGCTTCATTTTTAAAAATAATTATATAACAGATTTTAAGACTTTAAACCTTGATGTTTACGTTTCATCCTTGCATAAGGTCCTATATTTGGATCCATTATAAAATCATACAGCACACTTGACCATGAATGATGTTGTGGTAAATCATCATAAAATTCTGGTGCAATTTTTTTTACCTGTAATGATGATTATTTATAACGTTTAATAAAATTATATTAATGTATAATTTTATACTAAAATATTTGAATTTTTATGAAAAGTTTACCAAAGGAAGTTTTGACCCAGGAACAAATGGAAAATCATGATGTTCATTATGGTATCCAACATTGAATGTAATATAATTTAATGGACCATAATAAGAGTATGTTTCAAACCCTTTGTGAAACATATAATGTTCAGATATAAAATGTCCAGCCACTGGATGTAGGCCCATTGCCATTAAAGAACCTCCTAGCATGTAGGTTAGAACTTTAATACCTGTAATTAATTTATAATCCAGATATTATACTAAATGCAATAAAAACAATGAATGAATAGTTACTTCTATGATGGTAGGCAAAATAAAAAATTAACATTTCCATTTTTCAAACAAATTGATAATTTTTATAAACTATATTGATGAAAATATTCATATGCATACCTAAATTTGAATATACCCAGTAGTCAAATAACAATTGTATAAACACGCTGATAATTTCAAGTGCAGTAGGATTTTTTGGATATGTAAACATAGGTCTAAAAGCATAAAAGAATGGCTGCAACAATACCCACACAAATTTACCAAATGTAGAACTGAATAACTTTGCTTCTAAATATGTAGGTATATCTGTATCCAATTTTTCATCTCCTTGATACTAAAATCGTAATGAGAAATTATTTAAATGATTAATAATTATAATTTACATGTAGTGAATTAACTTTTAAAAATTCACTAAATAAAAGGTTTAAATAGTTACTCTGTGATGTTCGAGATGATAGTGTTTGAATGTGACAGAAAAAGGTAAACCTATCGGTAAATTTGCAAACATACCTAAAGTTTTATTTTTCAAAGGATACTTTGGGCCAAATCCCATGTTGTGAGCAATTTCATGTATAGCTAAAAATAATGCAAAATATCAAATGATATTATAAACTAAAAAAAAAGTATAAACTTATTTTACTTGCCTAGCATTAAAGAATGATTTACAACACCTCCAAAACAATATGCTAATAATATCACATAAAACCATTGTAAATCTTTAATGAAATAAAATGACAATAACTGTAGGATTGTAGTTATTATTACAATCCATTTAAAATTTCTATCTGGACCATAAAGGGTTTTAATTTCTGGATGTTTTTCTAAAATTGTTATATTTTTTTATTAATAGAAATTAACTATAAATTAATTATTTTATATATATTGAGAACGTAACTCTAAAAATATCTCAAATTCATGCATTATTTCTAAGTGGCATCCCCTTGTAACTAAACAAAATTTTATGACAATATAACAGATTAAGTTATAATTCATTTCATATAATTTAAGTTAATTTGACACTTTATATAAGTAAAAAATATTGAATGTACATTTTTGAAGAATATTTATACATAAGTAAAACTATATCGAATATCAAAAAAGGGTGAATTTCTTTAATTAATTGATAGCAATCAAAAAAATATTGATATATTTAATGATAATATGAAATTAAAAAAATTAAAATAAGAAAATCAAATATTAATATTACAAGAGGAAAGAACAACTTACTAGCATAGAAAGTTTAGCAATTTATAAATATTATTTTGGTATCTCTAATAAAAATCAAAACAATTTAATAATACCTAATATTTCTTTTCTTCTTGACGCGTGTGGTTCTTCTGTGAAAGTCCATTCAAAATCGCTTCTGGAAACTTTAGCACCCATTACTTAAAACGCAAGAAAATGATAACCTTTTTTTTATATATATCTTTTAGTGGGGTTAACACTTAATAAACGTTTTGTATTAAGTATTAAATGGAAGACTAGTTTTATAATAAGCGTTTTTAAATAAACATTTGACGATTATTTTACCACAAAATAATAATTTTCCTAAGATTGTGATTCAGGTTATTAAAAAATTCTAACAATTAAATTAGCATAATATAAAAAATTTATGTTCACTACATTGTACAATACATAATTCCACATAGATATAAGATGATCACAACCATTGACAAAAGATTACTGAAAAAGACCAGTAGCGACGGCTATCAACTACACTGCATCATCTGTCGCCCAATAGATCAACATACGATTAAATATAAAAGTGATGGTAAATTTATGCAATAAGCACTTCATTGCCACTTATGAATTTGATCCTATTGCAACTAAAATATTTCGTTTGCTGACCTATAGCGTTATTCACAAAATATATTGTAATCAGTATCATCTAGTAAAAGTTAAATAAGTGTTAAAGACGCCGACCTCAGCCGGTAACCGGCCTATGATAAGAGCAACAAAAAAATTCTGTGTAAATAATTATGGAATAATTAGATTATGACTATTAATTACGTTACGAGTAATGGTAGCTATACGATTCTATTTATAATAAAATAACATAAATAATTCTTCTATCATACTTCTTACTTTAGCACTTTATCTAATGATTTATTTCTATATTTTGGGTGATAGAGTTATATAATACAACAGAGATTTCACAGTGAAATACAGATTACTGTGATTGCCATATAAATGATACATTTATTGAAAATACGAATACTTTGTCAGGTAACAGTGGTTAGTACCGGTGGCGATTACATAGTGAGGGGTGTCATTTTCTATAGTCTGTTTATTGATTTTTTTATAATTGAGAAATAAGTACCCAATAATAAATTCATGAAAAAATGAAATATTGTTCACGTAATAATAGTTATAATAAATGAATGAAAATAATAATTCATTACTTATATATTGAACAATAAAAAATGCAATATAGAAAACGATGACCGTTTAATTTTTTAATTAAACTTCACTAAATTCGCCACTATTTGCATGTCGATGTTAATTAAAAATATGATTTAATTTTTTATTAATTCTCTTTTTATAGATAAGCTAAATTCGTTTATTGTTACATTATTAAATTATAATGAGTTATAGAGAACTGTAATAATTTTTTTTATAGAAATGTGATTTCTATAGAAAATTTAATTGGTGTTAACTTTAAAAACCTTATTGAATTAAAACTTTTAAAATTTAAAAGAGTAAGAAAATCATCTATACCTCATTTAATTAGTTTTGAAAGGTAATTTGATGATTATCATATTTAATGTATTTGAGTACATTTATTAAAATGTTGAAACTTTATTTTAAAAAGTCTTGTTTCGAATGAATGAAGTCCAAAATTAATATGCTCACTTTTTTATTTTAACTAAAAATCAGGTAATCCATATTAGGTATTTTTAAAATTATAAAATTAAAATACGCAATTAAATATTAATTTATCATTGATATACAAAAAAAAATACACGTTTCCTACATTTATCATATGCCTTAACTCAATTTCGCAAATCATATCACATTTCTCTCTTGTGCACTAGACCATTCAAATACATATTTCCATCAATTTTTATGAGTTTTGAAATTCTTTTTTTTTTGTAAATTTAACTTATATTAACCTAACTATCAATGTTCTAGAATTAAAACAAATTTTGTATTTAAATTAAAATATTATTGCAGTAATATTGTTGCTAACGGATCAGATATACAAATTGACCAAAAAAAAAAAAAAAGACTAATTTTAAGTAACATTACCCATTTTTTGGGTAATTTAAGAGCTGAATTTCATCATTATAAACTCTTAGAACCACATTCATATTTAATACTTATGAATGAGCTGTGATTAAACTATCAATATAGCATGCATAAAAATAGGCAATGAAAAATTTCATTAAAAACAACTGTAAAAATGACCATTAAGAGCTAGAAGTTATTTCTTCAGTTTAATTTTATTTAAAGTTACATCGTTCTCAAGTAAAATTTTATAAATGTGATTAGAATAAAAGAAATAAAGACAAAATTTATATTAAACATATACAGTGTTCAAAAAGTAAGGAAACGGGCCAATTGTTTAAACAATAGAACCCCGTTTCCTTAATTACTGAACTTCTGTAAGTAAAATTTTTATTTAACAGGAAATTTTTTTTTAAATACAATTTTGTGAATTTATTCAATCTTAATATGATGAAAATATTAACACTTTTTGTAAGATCAACAATTTGTATTTTAGACCACATAAAAGATACTCTTTAACATAACGGTATGTTGGCGACAGGATTATATTTAGTATTTCGATCAAACAGGATGTATTAGTGATGTTTACATCTTATTGCAACAAAAGTTATCATGCGATAACTTACGATATTACGAAGAAATAAGTGCATTTATTTTAATTGCGGTAAAAACAAATAAGAGAAACCAAAATTTAGATTGAAACATTTTCTGATAAATTATTGATTGGTGGGCACATAATTTTTTTTTTACTCACTTTATAAAAATATTCTGAACAAATGGGTAGGGGGAAGTTGTTATGAAACATATTAAGATTCTCAACACTAAGAGAAAATTGACTTTATATATATTAATAACTGGTTCTTAACTTGATATACGTTAGCGGATGCAGCGGTATATTCACAGGTTGTATCTGTAATCGCGACTATTACCAAGATTCAACTACCTGGACAATTATTATTAAATATTTAATACTTTTCAAGAGGGTATATAGCGCTATCTCTCCAGGTATAAATTAACAAAAAATCTGTTGCCATTGCTTTTCTATGTGTATTTAATCTATGATTCAAATGAGTCATAGGTTAAACCAGGGTTGTTATAATATAACCGTGATTATAATTTTTTATTATCAAATTTTATCATTAATACAAGTGTGAGAGTGTATTAAATGTTTTTCATAATTCGTTAATGAAATAATATGACATGAGTTCAAACATTATACTTGACTCTTTTTTGAAATATACCGTGTAATCAAATTTTAGTACATCCGTTCAATATGGACGGGGATGATTATATAATTGATCAACAGGTATACATTTTTTTTTTTTATAAAATTAAATTTAATCCAACTTTTAGATACTGCATTTTTTGCAATTGTTAAATATAATAAAAAAAATATTGCAAATTTGTAACCTTAGGTATTTTAAAAATACCAACTCTGTTTTTTTTTTAATTAAATCTTATTTTCTGTTCAAAAGGCATTATTTAGTAAAACTCAGATAGCCCATATAACCATATAGATATAAATACAAATTTTCTTATTAAAACCTAATCTAAATCTTACAATGCTAAATTCTAATAAAACAAAAAAATTACTATTGTTTTTATATATATATATATATAACTTTATATTTAATTGAATTTCTATTATAGTTTTTAATTGTGTTATTCATTAATATTAATTAGATTAATTTATAACAATTTATTATTTGAACTTGACATTTTAGTGTAATTGTAAACTTGTTGTTACATGTTCCAGTAAAAGATAATTCAATGTAATGTTTGTATTTTTTTTTATTTTTTTATTTTTAGCATTAATATTAAAACAAAATTACATAATAAATTCTTTATACTGTTTAATCAAATTATTTAAGTAGATTCTGAAAACTTAAATAACACAACTAAATATTTATTTATATTATTTTTCAGATGAAATTTGAGGATGATTTTGAAGAAGAAATATGTGATGAAGATAAATATGATGCTCTTAATGATGAGACATTTGGGAATGATATGTCTGGTAAACATAAATTATAAATTTGTTTATTAGTTTTTAAAAAATAAGTTCTTAAAGAATAAAATTGATAATAGTATTATATTTATAGATGATTGGGAGGCTGATCATGAACAATATGCAAAAATTGATGAAGAAACTAAAAAGCGATGGCCTGATGGTTCAGTTAGTACTTTTATTATAATAATTGCTTTTATATACCTTAATAATTATATTTATACTGTTATTTTATCATTAAATCTTGATTTAAATAAAAATTTTACAAAATAAATTTTATATTGACTTTCTATGAAAATTATATCTATGAAAGGCGGATGGAAAGATCTATCTCTGTAAAATAATTCTTAAATATGTAATATTTTTACAGGAAATGAATGGTGATTATACAGATACAATCACTTCAGATAGTATTTTTAGTGAACCTTTAAAAACTTTACCAGATTTAGAAAATGAATTAAGACAGCTTAGTATATTTAGCCATTATTATGAAAATTCAGTAAGTTTAATATAAATACATTAAAAAATCTTAATTTTATTTGTTCCATAGCTGGATTATAAACATAACATAAAGTATTTTTTAGAATAAAAAAATTTTACAATCTGACTATTTTTTGTATTTTATTTAGTTTTAATTAATGATTTTTACTTTTTTTATGAATAGCCCCATTTACAGTTTCAAAATCATTTGAATTTAGTTCATCAAAACTTGGATATTCATGTACCTAACAATAACTGTGGTCCAATTAGAAGACCTACTCCAATCCAGGGTTATAACTCTAATGCACGGGTAATATATGTATTGAGAGTATTTTAATTAAAATATTTTATTTATATAGTGTGCGTTTTTGTTGGTGTTGGGAAATTTTATATTCTTGTTTTGAGTATTTCTTTTCATTGTCAATATTTTTAATTAAAAAAAATTAAAGTAAACATTTTAATTGTTTTTTTTGTATATACTGAGATGAAATCCATCTAACACAAAGCTTTATAGAATCTTCAAATTAGTAATAATAAATTATTAAATTAAAATATTTTGTCATTCTTGTGAAATGTAGTTTTGGTGCTTATATTTTTGAGGCTATCAATATTTATTAACTTTTTAACTGTTTTATTAATTAATGTAAACTTCAACTTAGTAAACAAAATATAATTATCACATTTACATATTTTTTTCCATCCATAGTAGTTTATTTGATGAATAGTTTGTGTATATTAAACTGTAAAACTGTTATATATCAATTAATGATTTTAGTTGAGTTCTTTTAAATTATGTGTGTTGTAGGAAATACTATTCAACACTTAATATTTGGACTATTCAATTTCTTCTTATCTTAACCTGTAAAATATGTTTTTATACAGTACCGGTCAATAGTTTACGTTTTCCTTAGTTTTTATAAAATATATTTATAAAAAAAAGAAGTTATTACTCTATAAACTAAATATGTCAATTAATTTTATTTACTTGTTAGCATTATTTATAAACAAAGTAATCATTCTGTCAACTCTTACGAACATAAGAAATTTTTTTTTATATTTTCAAAATATCTGTCTTTTATTTTTATAATAGTAGCATATACTCTGATTAACAACCTTTCAGTGATGCAGTGATTCTGTTAAAATTGGATCCCAACAATTATAGTAAATGTATAAAGCTTAGGGGCTTGACATTCCATATTTTTTTAAATAAAACGCAGGTTTCCACTGAAAAATTGACTAAATTATATAGAATTTAAAAGAAAAGCAAATGAATGTAAACTCTCAACCAGTAGTGTGATACCATAAGTACAGTGGTTGGGAGTAGTATGCTACTTGTAGTGGAATAACTATTAATATACTACATTTTTAGTAGCATTGAATTAGCATCTTTAAAAATTGTCAACTTTATAACTAGTTAGTAATAGTATAGTTTTATTTAATTTTTAGTTAAAAGTAGTTTGCTACAAAAAAAAAAGAATTAGTTTTCGAACCACTACAAAAATAGAGGCATAATTTTTTGAGTTATATGATGTTCAAATTATTAGTAGTTTAATTTTAATTATTAATTATTTTTAACATATATATTAAAATAATCATTTAAAAATACTAATGGTGTTTTGTTGTTATCAGAATGTGTTTAATCCACCACCTGGGTTTCATGAGACAAATGGTCACATGGATGACGATATTATTAAACCACCATCAAAAATTATGTCTTCTGCTATAAGTGTAGCAGATCTGGAAAGGCAATTGGTATATGGTTTTCATATTTTTTTGTAGTTATTATGATTGTTTATCAGATATATATATTAAAATAAATAAATTTAGAGAGAACTTTTTATATATAAAAATAATATTTTAATTAATTTGATTAAGTCTTTACTCATTGTGTATATTAGATTATGATGTTTATATGTTTCTTTAAAAAAATCATAAAATGATTAAATTGCTTGTGAATATATTTGTTCCTTATGCGTAAGAAATAATACATTTTTATATCGAGATTAACTATCTAAAAATAAAATCTTATTACATAAATGTTATGAACTTAGTTAATTAGTCTAATTATCTGTCTTGCAAACAATTTAACGTATCATACATCTGTGTTAATTTTTAACTGCAAAAAACTGACAAAAGAAAATTTAGATACAATTTTATTTTAATTTGCAAGAAAATAATTTTCTTAAAATTCTCTGGTAGCTATTGAGATCTAAAATATACAAAATAAATGTTAACTAGAATGTTAACTTTATTTGATTATGATAATTAATAAGCAGTACTAATTTTTTTACTTAACATTGTGTAGATTCAATCAGTCAAAGTTAATCCATCGATATATCAACAACCACCTCCTGAAATTAATAATCGTCATATGTTTATGCCTATTCCTCAGTTCTATAAGACAGATCAAAAATATAATAATATTATTCCAACTAAAAACCCATGTAAGATTAATTATTTTTATAAAACCTATTTTAGCTTATTTTTTCTAATACATAATTCTTTATACTTTATTTATTTTAGTGTTTCCAAAAATTATTCCTCCCAATTTAGTAAATTGTAATAGGAATCATAATGGGATGGAACAGCAACATTTTCAACAACGTAGAATTGTAAGTAAAATTTTAATTTCCAAAAAATTTTTTTATAATCCTGTAAAATTTTAAAATAATAAAAATTTATAATTTATGTAGAATGACTATAATATATTTGAAGAACAGCATGATGAAGATGCAGGTTTTATGACTCTTAGGGAAAAACATTGGTTGGCTGGAATTCAAACAATCCAATTTAACAATAGTAATCCTTTAGAAGATGACTATTATTTTACAGTTAGTACTTTTTTTTTTTTTTTTTATGTGATATAGTAAATAATTAGTTTAATTGTTTAAGATGACTGTAATAAACAAAATTATAATATTCTAATGAAAGAAGGGATTGGGCTGATTAATGGGGTGCATTATATATGGGAATCTTGGAGTTTAATATGTATAGTAAAGTTTAGCCTTAATAATTTAAATGACTCAATAAAGTTATCCTTATCTTACCTCTTTCTATTCTTGTTTATTAGTGTAGTCTTTAAAAGTAAAACATGCAAATAAATATTCATACTTATCTTTATTTTCTTTTGTAGTTATTTGAGTTGATCTTGTACTAACTTTTCAGTTATATGGCAATTATCATTATTTTTTAATTTCACATTTATTTATATTAATTAGATTGATATGGTATATGTGTTTATAATACATGCTTTTATTATCTCAGTAATATATGACGTTCATAAAATACACAATTTAAAGATTATTTACAATGAAACTTGCATCTATTATGGTTTATTTATAAACTTTTTATATTATACTAGGTTTTTACTAATAATTTTTTTAGACAAATTCCCTATAGTTGATAACGATATTCTTAAAATTCATTCTAAAATTGTAAGAATATGTCTATCTATATTCAAATATAATCAATAAGACTGTGGTGGCCCATTGTTTTTCAGTGTAAAGTCTTGGCTGATGCAGATACACTTATTCTTGTTAATTTATATTAAATGTTATTACAGTACACTTCATAAGATCCTATATGTCCTTATAAGTTACCAAACAGGCTGGTATGTGGGCATAGAGTATTACTGCTGTATTAATAATTAATTGTAATATTACACTTCCTCACTATAATTGGCACATTTAAAGCTGTCCACAGTAGTAGAGGGCATGATAAATTTAAAATCATAAAATAAAAAAATAAAAGTGAATAAATAAAATTAAGGTTTACTCTATTTAGCACATTTTAGGCTGTTCATGAATAAAAACTAATATAATATTTAAAACTGTTCACCAAAAATATGACTATTATATCTGAATAAATATTATGTTTTTTCACTCTATTCGGCATAATTAAGTCTGTCTAGAAATGAAGAACACAAAAATATAAAAAAACTAATGAATATGATTTAATTTAAAATATCTAAAAATAATGTTCACCATTTAGGGTAATATGAGGAAGTCTTGAGGACAAAATATTTTTTATATTAGAGATCTCTAGTGAAATCCCTGTTATGCTGTATAATAATTTATGATAGAAACCATAGTGTAGGCGTTACTGATGAATTGTAAGAGACTGGTTTAAAATATTTGTTAATAAATGGTTATTTTAAATGCCCTAAAAAGAACATTCCTTGGATGATTTTTCTTTATTCATATATTTGCATTTACTGATCTTTAGTACATGTGTTAATAATTATACTACATGAACTTTTTTGTGATTGTATGAAAAAAAATCCATATTCATTATATACCATTTTCAAAATTTGGCTTTTAATGAAAAATAAATATATTTATATTCAAATATAAATTTTTAAATGAATTTAAACCACATTTTAGATTGTTTAAAAATTCATCATAAAAAATTTTGGTTACTCAGTTCCTTGAAATTTTCATAACTTCAATATAAATTATACAATTATTGTTTTTAAATCTGTAGCATAATAATTATTATCAGTTGAAAATAAGTTATTGTATTTAAAATTAGTACTTAATATTCTGTATTGTTATTTATTATTGCATTTATTTATTTTATCAAATATACTTCATTAAAATTATAGCTCATATTATAGTTTATTTATATTATTATAAATTAAATTCAATTAAAGTATGTTTTAATAATTTATTTTGTGATAGATGTACCAAAAGCGCCATCATTGTTCGAGTGGTATTAAATCAAGTAGTAATTCCCAACAGTCAGATGTTCAATCTAAAATTAACAATGTGTATACTCCTTTGCATTTTGAAAATTCTCTAGGAAAAGTGCAAGTAAGTATTAGCCAAAAGTTATTATTGTTATTTCAGGATAATTACAATATTTTTTTTTTCTTGAGGTTGGAAGTGTTAGTGCTCCCAGGAAAATAATTGATATAGAATTTAATAATTTTACTCCATCTTCATGTCCATCATCCAGTAATAAACGTAATATTGTTATACAGAAGAAATCAAAACAAATACTTTTAGAAATTGAACATGTATGTTGTAGATTTATAATATTATAATATTAAGTAAACCTTTTTCGTTTCTAGATAATTAATTTTAACAATACCTTGATTATTTATTTTTATAGATGTATATACCTTTATTGAAAATAGAACAAACCTATTATGCAATAAGAAATAAAATGCAGGCAATGCCTACTGTTCAACAGTACATTGATGAACTAACTGATATTTTGATTAAACATTTACATAATTTAGTTGCATATGTTACAATACGCAAAGGAAAAGTTAGTGAACATAATACATTTTTTGTATTATAATAATATAGTATTACAAAATATGAGTATTCAAAAATTTTTATTTTTAGCAATTGATACATCGAATACTACCTCACCTTAAAAACCCTTCATTTTTATGGAACATATTTTTTGGACCTTCCATTTGTGCAATTATGTTGAAAGATAGTGAAGAGCAACTTTTATTGCTCTTTTTACCTTACATTAGGCAATGGATATTTTGTTTATGTCTCGATGAAATGAACAAAGTAACTGAGTGTCTTATGAAAAATATTGCATTTGTGTTAAAAAATGTTGTAAGTATCATAATTTTAATTATTTTTGTTTTTTTAGCAAATTATATTTACTATAAATTAATTTGTTTAATTATATCATAGTTTGGAATATCGGTAATAGCAAATATGATTGAAAGAGCTGAAGAAGTACGTCCAATAACTGAACCAACAGTATTGAAACAATGGAGTGTATTTCTAAGTCGTGTTATTTCTGTTAGTTCAGAAACATTAGTAGAAAGACCGGTCATTGGATTAGATAAAAAAATTATTGAACAACATTTGAATAACTTATCATTTGACCAATCCATCACTCCAGCTAAAGTTAATAATCTTGTACAGAGATTAAGTTTTTTGGGTGATACATCGAAAAAATAGTTTAAGTATATAATTGATTTTTTCACTATTTAAGAAAAAAATGAAAATATAAATGATTAACTGTTCTTTGTGTTTTAATGAAAAAATAATGATGACTATTTTATAATGCTTTAACTTTAATTATCAAGAAACTTGTTAAAAAATTATGGTTAACTTCTTGTACTTCTCCAATAATTTTCAATTGTGGTTTTATTTGTTCAATATTATTATTTTTTTTTGTATATAAACATTTTTTGAATTTGATTTTAATTACTGATATAATGAAATTGTGTTATATTGCATTGAAAATCCAAGGTTATTTTTTAGTTTGTATTAATTTTATATGTGACATTATGGTTTATTATTTTATTATAAATTCTCATCTTGTATTTTTGATCCATAATAGAAATATCTTATTGAACTAGGATGTGAAATTATTTGACTTATAGTAAATTTTCTTAGCTGATATTACTAACTATATAAACAAGCTAATAAACAAAATCTAATTTTAAATAGTTTCCTAAATATTTTAATTATTCTCATGTTAATTGTTTTTAAATAAATAATTGTTTATTTTCCTTTTTTAATTTTAACAAAATTTTATTTTGGTTTTTTTTATTGCTTAGTTTTAAACTTTAATACCCCATATTAAAAGCTTCATAACTGTGAAGATTATTTAACTTATAATTTTCTGTCAATATAAATTCTAAAATAATAATAGCTAGTATAATTTCTTATATTAACAAAACATAAGTTTCTCTAATAAACTAATTTACTTTTAAATATATCATTTCATTACTCTCTCCTCTTATTAATTAAATAGTGTTATTTATATGTTAAAATCATAATGTTATTATTAAATTATGTTGAAATGAAAATGCAGTAATATTATACACTTAACTGTTTATTATTTATTTTCATAGTGAAAATAAATAACACCATAGATTATTGGTAATCATTTATTGTTCTAATATTACATATAATAATTAATAATTAGTTGTAAGGAATGTGATTTATTAAATAACATAAAATACTTTATTTATATTTACTATTTCAAATAGTAAATATAATACTAATCATAATAAAGATTTTTACAGAGAAAGTTATCAATATTGAATTTTCATTTAGCATATAAATATTTTCTAAAATAATAAATTTTAATTGATAATATTATAATATTTATTTATATTAATGACTTTGCAATGTATATCCTGGTACTTTAGTGAATTTTAAATTATATTATGACAAAAATAAAGCATTACAGTAGAATTATTTTCAATTAGAAAAACCTCAGAGTTTCTATTTATTATTTTGTATGTTACTATATATAATTTTGTAATTGTGTAAAAACAAATTATTTAAATATGCATTAAGGAAATGTGTAATAATATAAATTTTATTTTTAATTGTACAATCATTTTAATTTTGTTATGACAATGAAAATAAATAATTGTTTTTTTATTTCTTAAAACATGTTTCTGATAATATATTTTTTTACTATAAAAATCTACAATGCTATTATCTCATATTAAATATTCAATTAAGATTTTGATTATTATATATTTACATAATATATTATGATTTACATACAGTTTTTTAGTTGATAGTTTATATTTTAATTTAATATTAAAAATATATTATGTTTTTTCTCGTTTTCTTTAAAATATAACTTTGGAGGAAAGTATTTATTTTCATATATTTGATCAATGTAGGCTAGTTCCAATATTTTTTATTTTAACTAATAAATTGGGCTTTTTATTTATTTTATAAATAATTATTAAGAAAAACAATTTAGTATATGATATATGAAAACATTATTTAGAATATTAGTAAATATATCCATGTGTTTCAGTTGTGATGACGTTTTGAATTCGTTTCATTATTTCGTTCCGTATCAATAGTTTTAGATTTGTATCCACACGTTTATCTAGCTTGTATTTACAAGTTGACGAGGAGGAACATTGATAAATCTGTAAATGTCTTAAATAGTATAACAAACAACGAAAGCTTTATCATATTTACATGAAAAAAATAAATATTTTTTTGTGAAAATACATTAGAATTATATTTTGTAACAGAAGATAATATGAAAAATGATAATAATTTGTAATGAAATTTGGTTATTTAAAAAGATTTATGTATGAAGAACCTAATATTGTTTTTATTTTTTGAGAATTAACAGTAATTCATTGATATTATTGTAATATTAGTTTTTTGAAACACAGTTTTAGAATATATATATATATATATAAATTGGTTTAGTTTTAAACACCAATCAACTACAGATATAAATAAAAATAATGTTTAACTATTTATAAATATGTATACAAATTTTAATTGTATTACTCATTAAATTAGATTATTGAAAATATAACCATATTAAATAATATGTTTATTTTTATATTATTAATTGTTTACAAAAATTAATAATTAACAATCCTCAATTATTGAGTATCAGAATTGATAATTAATATTAAAATATGAGCTTCAAATACAAGTTATTTTGAAATGATATTTTAGAAAATGCTCATGATTTCAAGAAATTTTTATAATTTTGATTAGATTTTTTTTATATTACCATGTTTATGCTTATAAAAAGTACGCGAGATTAAAAAAAAATACGTTCATAGTTTTCTAATCACCCTCAGATTGTATAACAGAATAGTGAAATTAAAAATCTGTTATTATATGTTTGGTTTTAAGTGTTATATTACTGATTTAATGAAGTACAGATTTTTATCCTAAGTATTAAGCATGTTAGACTCATAGTAAAATTAATTTTACTATGGTTGGACTCATATGAATCAAACTTATATAGAAGTCTTTGTAGATGACATTAATTTTGAAACCTTAAATTCCATTAATTGATAAGCTGCTTACTTATCAATATTTCAATTTAGCCGTTCGAAATGTTATCACCATGTGCAATATAAAATGCAACTTAGATCGAGAGTAAAATTTTTATTTGACATATTTTAAGAAAGAATTGCTTTTAAAACAAATGTTATTGTAAAAAAATTTAAATAATTTTATCAGTTAAATATTTTACGAATTAAGTGTTCAATTAGTAGCTGAAAAATGCTTCATACAATCATATAATTACTAGTTGATAATTTATTTAATAAGTTAAAGTCCGATGTCTTCGATTTGTTTTTAAATGGTTTGGAAAAGCCAATTATTATGGATCAAAAACCTCGACCACATACTTTTGTTGTTCCACAGTCACCTGTTATTAGTCAAGTATCGCCTACTAATACTTCCCCAGCAACTTCTAATTATGTTTTGACATCTAGTAATTTTCGACCAGTTACCAATTATACTATTATTGCTAGTTCACCTGCTTCAACCACTCATTCATATATTACTCAATCTGGTATACGAACAACACATCCACAATTTGTAAATGTTCAAAGTACTTCCAATGTTCGACATATCTTATCTTCCAACTCTCAACCATCCAATATAACTTATATGTTGCCATCGGGTGCTCATATTGTTAGAATGAGCAGTATTGTAACTCCAACAGTTACCGGTGAGCAGCATTCAGGACCGCAGTTTATATTAACTTCAAGTGCTCAGAAAATTAGTCCAAATACAACTAATTCATCTCAATCTTCCAAAACAAATAATGCAGTAACGGATAACAATGGTAAATAAACATAGAATGTGTTACTGATTAATTTTTTTATACATAGTATATTCTTATAATTTTTATACTTCACTAATCTTAAACATATGAAATATGTTGACACATAATGAAATATTTTATTTGGTAGCTCTAGTTGGTGAACTACTAACCAAAACTATAGGTGTCAGTAGTAATACACCTCCAACTTTTCAAAAATCAGGAATGTCATTGCCTAGATTAAGTGCAGCTTATTATAATCAAGTAAAAGGAAGTGAATCACCAAGAATTTCTTTTAGATCAAGTAAGTTGAATAATGTACTCAATAGGTATGATAATAAATAATAATATTTATGATAAATTTTTTTTTTTAGTAAATGAACAACAAAAATCAGGAACTAGTTTTATATTGGCATCTAGTGATTGGTCACGAACAAAAAATGTGCCCGTTTCTAATTTATCAAAAATTGGTAATAACTATATGCAAATACCATTGATACAAAAGTCTGGTACAATGTTATCAACAAATGTTTCAAGGCCAAGTACTGATGTTCGTGCTGGCCAGCATCAAAGATCTCAGAATCAAACAATTCGTTCTGTAATACTACCATCTAACTATCGCACAGCTATGTCACCACAAAGAAACACAGATTGTAGATTAGTTCTTAATTCTATTAATGTACCTTCACAAGTGAGTTTTATTCTATGTTTTATTTGAATACATAGAATAACTTGATCTATTTTTACTAAATTTTACTATAGCAATTGAGCTATTTAAGAAATATAGTTTCATATAAATGAACAATAGTTTTTTCTAATGCTATAATTTTTTTTTTTACATAAAAATATAATCCCCTAAAATATTATAAATTTATTTTATTTTTATCACTGCCTAAGATAAAAGTACTAATTTTAATCTTCTTTCGATTAAATTAGTTCTAAATTATAAAAAATTAAATACATATTAAGTGTAATATTAGAACATGATTGACATCATTTTTTTAATATGAAAATCAATACAATTTTCTTTTAATTTTAGATTTTATAATAATAAAAAATATACCATTTAATAATATCCCATGAAACCTTTAATAATTTAGTTTAAATTCTAAAGATGTATCTCATTTTTTTAAATTTTAAGTTGGTTGCAATTTTCCTATTATTTATATAATCTATACCATTCCAATTATAAATTTTGGTAGCTCAGTCACTTTTTTTGACTATAATATGGCTTCTTAAACAATAGTATGTTCTGTTTATAAAAATTACTATTGAAATGGAGGATTTTTCATTTTGAACATTCTTAATCTTCAGGTGATAATAGGTTGAAAAAAGGCTCCTAGTGAATTCGTAGCTTGTGACACTATTAATAAGTTTAGAGAAATCTAGGTCATATGAAATGAATTCAAAAACATATACTCACAGCAGCAGATTCCTTGTTCATCAAGATATAGTGTTTAAGAATGTTCTTATATTCTATTAGTTTAAATATATAGTTATTTATAATAGCAAGGAGGCAAATATACTCGATGTTGATATGTTGTATGTCAACATACATCAAGTTTCTTAAAGATCTATATAAAAGAATATAGTAATGCATTTTTTTTGGTTTAGTTATTTTTAAAAAATTTATTGAGAATTTAAATCCAGTAAGTGTTTTTGACAGACAATATATTTTTTAATTGTTTAATAAATAGTATGTATTTATTTATTTAAAATTGTAAATTGTTTTTATTGAATCATTTCTCTGAGTATTAAGTACCACAATTTTTTCTCTGTATTAATTCTCATTTTTAAGCAACTCTGTAACATTTAAATTGTATTTTAGTGGGATAATAAATTTTTTTTTCAACCTGTGTTATATTTTTAGGTTTTAACATCAACTGATGGAAAACCTCGAATGGGTAATGTGCCTGTTACAAACATTCAAAAATTTGGTACCAACTATGTACAAATTCCTATTACACAAAAGTCAGGAACAATACTTTCACGTGGTAATCAACATCCTTCTACTGACAGTAATGTAAGAGTTGGTCAACAACAACATCAAATTAGATCACTTATTTTACCACCTAATTATCGAGCAACTATGGTATCTCCAAGACGAGGTCTAGATTACAGGCTTATATTAAAACCAGTTAATATTCAACCACAAGTAATATATATATTTATTAAAAATATTATATTACTTAATAGTTGTTTGTGGTATAAATAATAGTAGAATTGTTTATTTATAGGTGTTAAAAACTTTACCTTCTCCTAGGCAAAATTCCTCACGACAAACTCCACCTCCTGTATCACAATCCAACTCTAATCGTGTTGCTTTACTACGTTCAACAAATAATAAAAATCATAATGAAACTGAAGTACTAGCTACTTCAAAAATTGTACCTATTCCATTAAAAGGTCGAAAAAGTCATTTAGTTATTTCTGATAGAACTATTAAAATGGTTGTTGATGAACTTAACCAAAAAAATATAACGGATAATGAATCAATCCTAAAATTAACACCGGCAAGCATGGAAATTGTGCAAGCAGAAGTATCATATAGATTATTTTATTTATTAAGGGTATGATAAATAACAATTATTTTGTTTGATAATCCCTGTAGTATTGTAATATTTTTTATCTTATTTAAATTTAATTTATCAAAGTTCAAAATAATTTGTAAAATTATATTACCTTTACCGTTTTTTAGGAGTGTAAAAAAGTTTTAGTAAAAAGTCATATGAATGTATTAACTGAAGAAATTGTTCGACAAGTTTGTGCTGACTATTTTACACCATTTTATGGAAATAAGTTGTGGCCATTATTCTGTTTGAAACCTAATGAGGATGAGATTGAGAGTAATAATCTTGAAAATCGAGTATGGATTAGAAAACATAACAATGTAAATGTTGTTGGTTGGTTAAAACATCCAAAGTTTCGTAATCCTAGCTATATTAAAAAACGTATGTTTCAGTAATTTAATAAGTATATTATTATTTTTTTATTCTAATAATTTTATAAATATTTTAATCATTATTCTATATTTTTAAGGTCCTAAAATAAAGTTAAAAATTAAAGAGTTTGTTCCTGATACTGTAGAACAAGTACTTAATGTGCAGCAAGATTTTCTATCTAATACAACTATTACTAGAGTTAATGATAAGAGTACTATAAAATCCATGACAATTAGTCAAATGGATTTAAGTGACAAACAAATATCTCGTGAAATTTCTTTAATTAATCACACATCATCTTCACAAATATCTTTAGACATGTTATCTAAACAAGCTGCTGCTCAAACTTGTACAGTAAAACCCATAGAAAATACCAATATAAATCCCACAACAATTTTAAATACCCCTATAACTGTATCAACAATAAAGTCAAGCCAATCACATGGTAGTACAAACAATAGTCTTATTAATAATAAACCTAGTAAAGTACCTTACATTATTTTAGATTAAAATAAATAAAAATTTTTTACATATTTCTTTATCATTTTTTTCCTGTTAGTACAATTTCAAAAATTATTTATTTAAAAATGACTAATAAATCAAAATATTATTTTATAATTCAGTAAAAAATCTTTCTAAACATCAATATTTTTTCAATAACTCAACAAAAATTTAAAATTTGTATAAGATTTTAAATTATTCTAGCTTTCTTATCTTATGACTATAATTTTAATTTTTTAAGTAATATTTTGTCTTGAGCATTAAGTTTTTATATTTAAATTAAAATTTATATTTATCTTTATCTTTAAAATGTACTATTGAAAAGATCATTTTATACTAATCTATGGAGATTAGTTATTGTTAATCAGTTTTGTTAAGATATTTTAATTTATTTTTTTAACTCATTGAAGTAGCACATTATTTATCTAAATTTACTAGGTTTCCTATCTAATAAAGTACTAAACTGATTTTGAATATTTTGATTATATTATTTAATTTTACAGTAGCTATATGGTGTAACTAACTTTCAACAAAATAATGTTTTTGTTTATTTATGTTCAATTTAATAAATTATTAGTCATAAATATATTTTTCAAAATTAAAATGATGTTGAATGAATTTTTATTTGACTATTTTAAAATCCAGATTCATTAACAAGAGTTCATCTATTGAATTAATTAGTCTATTAATAAATCATAAATAAATTTTGAATTAAATCTTAGACATCCAATAATTTTAGTATTTTAACCCATGTGATTTTTTTTGGATTGTACATGTCTTAAATAATAATGATAAGTCTGTGATCTTTGTTATATATATTTATTAATAAGAACATATTTTGTTTTAATTTATTTTTGTATTATAAAAAGTTTTTATTGTACATACATTAATAAAAATAAAAATATTTATAAACTCATAAATATCTGAATTTTTTATTTTTGTATGGAATTCGTCTATTTTTAATAAAATTTTAGTCAGCTATTATGCTTCTTTTCTCAAATGTTTCTAAATAACAAATTATAAACTTTTAATACCATTTAGAGCTGGAACATGATTAGGGAAAGATAAAGAGATTGATTCCCAGGCAATAATATTTACATGATGAAAATACAATTTTTTTTTAAAGAGGAGTAAAAAGTTTTCTTATGTATAAGAAAACGTTTCAAGAACAAAACTGTTTCAGTAAAGTAGAAGTGTTAAAAAACAAACCTAGCACAGGGGGGTCGCGGCACAGTGGTGACGTGACATAATTGGATCAAGTATAATGATATCTGACAGTGATTAAAATCACTATAAAAAAAAAACGCTTCGATGCAAATCTTTAGATAGTGTTTAATTTTAAAAAATTGGTGGATTATTCCAAAAGCTACATGATATGCTAGTTCATTATTAATATCCTAATTAAGATAAAGTATGTCGAATGAAAAAGGGATTATTAAAAAATATTATTTCTTATAAAAAAATAATGTTGATCCATACACTTTTAAATATGTCATAGCATTAAAAAGTTAAAAATGTAAAAAATAAAATCGAGAATTTCCACATAATAATAGCATTTTGTAGCCATTTTCACCGTGAAGATAAAATAAAGTCCGAAATTTTTTTTCACATAATAAAGTAGATTACATTAACTTTAATTTAAGATATAAATAAAAGTGTCAGACTTTCCGGAACAGTTTCAAAATTTAAGTTGAAAAAGTAAATTTTTTGTGAAAAAGTTGTCATTTTAAATCCCCCCCTGTGGGTAGGTAAAGGGTCAGATTTAAAATAAATATATACCAAATGATAGGTAAAGACATCATTCATCTATAAAAAAAAAATTATATTGATCCATACATCTTTCAAAAAGTTATAGCATTATAAAGTTAAAAATATAAAAAAGAATTTTTTTACAAAAATCGTATTTTTTTTATAAACTTTGATGTCTGTTTTCACCATGAAGATAAAATAAAGTCCGAAATTTTTTTTTACCATAATAAAGTATATTACATTAGCTTTAATTTAAGATATATATAAAAGTGTCAGACCTTCCGGAACACTTTCAAAATTTTAAGTTGAAAAAGTTCTACTTTTTACATGCATTTTTTAGATTTGAACCCCCCTCGTATATAGGGAAAAAACAGTATGTCAAATGAAAGATTTATATGAATACTACTCCTCATAAAAAAATTGTACTAATCCATTTTTCAAAAAGTTATAGCATAATAAAGTTAAAAATGTAAAATACAAAATCGAAAATTTTCACACAAAAATAGCATTCGGTAGCCATTTTCACCATGAAGATAAGATAAAGTCCGAAATTTTTTTTTTTCATGATAAAGTATATTACATTAGCTTTAATTTAAGATATATATAAAAGTGTCAGACCTTCCGGAACATTTTCAAAATTTAAGTTAAAAAAATTAATTTTTTGTGAAAAAGTTGTCATTTTAAATCCCCCCTTGTGGGCAGGTTAAGGGTTAAATTTATGAAAAAAATATACCAAATGAAAGGTAATGATATTATGCATCTATATAAAAAAGAATTATATTGATATGTTCATTTTTGAAAAAGTTATGGCACTTTTAAGTAAAAAAAATTGAAAAAATTTCGAAAATTAGCGATTTTTAAATTTGTAATTTTTTTGGAGGTTTCCCCCATTTACGGGGAACGAGGGAATTTTTTTCAATTTTTGAGGGTAATGTCTTCGACTAGATACAATTTGTGATCTTTTGACGTATCATTGAAAGAAATCGGTTCGGTGAGAGCTGAGAAAAAGTGGTAACAGAAAAAAAAAAAAAAAAAAAACACATCTTAGTAAAACCAATACCTTCTCAGCTTCGCATCGAAGCTAAAATTCCTTTGGTTTTTGTATTTCAATAAAGTTATTTTTATGAGAGATAATTTATAGTAATATTTTACATAACATCATATTTGAATAAGCTAATTATATTTAGCTTATCCAAATAATAATAACCTAAGTTATTTTTATTTTATTTTAGCTCAGTTTTAATTAAAAACTAGTATTCATCAATTATTGATGTTTTCTGTAATCGGATAAGATATTTGTTTTTGAAGCATAAAACGTTTTAAAATAGCGTTGCTGATGAATTTTACATCGAAGGAATGGTATAGGTAATCTTAAAAACTATCAAATGGATCTTCGTTGAAAATGTGCCAAAATGTCAATCGAAACTGCAGTCAATCTCAAACATTTATCTATAGTACTAATACTAGTACAGTTCGGTGCCGTCGAGTTAAAATAGTACTTTTTAATTGACAAATTTTGAGGTTAGTTTAAAAAAATTATGGATGCAGACTCTTTAACCAAACTTAATAACTCTATTGCTCAATATTTACTGTCAGAAAATGATTCTTCAGACATGGATGGATGGACAGTGTCAGAAAATACAGTAGCTGGCCGGGGTCTAATAGCCACAAAAAATTACAACCCGGGTGAAGTGATATTCATGGATGTACCTTTGATCAAATCTCCAAGAGTATTACTGAATAATGAAGCAAATAAAAATCTAATATGCGCAGTATGTTTTCAGAATGGTCCACTTCAAGCTTGTTCCGGAGGATGTCGTTGGCCAGTGTGTAACACTAAATGTGCTAAATCTAAGTTACACACTGTGGAGTGCGCATATATTCGTTGCCTTCGTCCAAATTCGAGTTCTTCGGAGTGGTCAATAGGGTTATATAATGCCGTGGCTGCTGTACGAGGGCTGACGATGTTTAAAGAAGGCTCTTATAATTATTTTTATAATACACTACAAAAAAATACAACTGTAAAACCTGTTTTTGAGGTAAGGTTAGATTAAGTCAAATTAACTTTGTAATAAAAGAATAAAATCCATTTTTTGGAATTTATACTTGTTTACAATAACTACAAACTATAGAATGAAAATATTTTTCAAAAAGTACACAATAAGCTACAAAAATGAGCAAGGTTTAGTTTATTTATTTATATTTATAAATAATTCTGTTGATTACATATTTTTTCATGTCAATTCGTTCGTAGCGTTTCCAAAATTCAGTGTTCATTTTAAATTTTAAATTAGTGTTTTAGAACAAGAAGGTATTGATAAAACAGTTTACCATTTAAATTTTTTTCGAGCTTAAGTTTAGAAAAATGGTGGCCTTATGTTTATAACATAGATTAACAAAATATAATTTTAAAATTCCTCTTTTTTTTCTCATAATATATTATTATCTATCTATCTTATCTATTTTTGAATTAATTTGATGAGGTAATTTTTATTGGTATGATATATAAAAGTTGAAATATTCATTTATACAGGTAAAGCTTAGTATTAAAGTTTAAACGCTCCGTAATTCAGATATACTTATATTGAATACTCTGGATGTGCCTAGTTTTTGCTAAAAAAATTGAATCTGAATAACTTTATTATTTATTTTAAGGTTGAAGAACTCAAAAAAAATGTCAAATCAAAACTTAACCAAAAAGACGAAGTTATCATGCAAACAGTTTGTAAAATAATGGATGCTAACGCTTTTGAAGTTGTTATTAATCAAGTAACCAGTTTGAGAGGTCTTTATCCAGTTGCGTCTTTTATGAACCATTCATGCGTACCTAACACTATGCATAATTTTGATAATAAACTTAGAATGGTGGTCAAAGCATCAGTGCCTATAAAAAAGAATCAAGAGATTACTACATCTTATACACATTTAATTTGGTCGACTCCCTTAAGACAGCATCATTTACTAGTTTCTAAACAATTCCTCTGCACGTGTTTTAGATGCCGAGATCCAAAGGTAATTTTTTTTTTTTACTTTTTGTATCTTTAATTAGAGTATATAAGATATAAAAGAGCGCACTTTTTTCTGTCACATATAACTTGTAGTACATGGTAGTTTTGAATAATATTTTTTAGCTAGACAAACTATAAAAAAATAAAAGGTAATATATGAAGTTAGAACTTTATTTAACGAGATATTAGCGGAAATAAAAACTTACTCTTACCCCATTGAAGAGGTCATAATTAGCATTGAGTAAGCTTTAACAAACAATACAATAAATAATTTTGCAATTCGATATCATAATTGTTAATTATAATGAGTGAAAAAAGAGTTTGCCACTAAAAAATTGAAGTAAAATTTTTTAGACTTATCATTCAAATTTAATAAAATAATGTATAAACCTCATTTATTTCAAAATTAGTATAAATTGTATTATTTTAGAACAAAATTCGACTTTACCTCAAATTTTTTTTATTAAATTTCATGTCAAAAATTGTGTGCGAAAATTAAACTATTTTATTGGGCTTTTCTAGGCCCATTAAAGACCCATAGCGACCTCCCCCAAAGGGGACATTTTCTTAGCTGATACTCCGGGACGGGTGATTAGTCTGTCGCCGGAGAGAGGGATGGCGACTTCAACTGATCTCTCGCTTAGCAAATGAAGCCGCCTGTGACTGAGTTTCGAAACTGAGGCAGTGTGTGTCAAGCACTGCCGCGTTACCGAATCGGCTACACCATCCCTAAACTATATTGTTACCCAATATTTATTAATAAAAATATTATATATGCAAAAAAAAAAATCCAAGTTTTATAAAATTCTTATATTTGTTTGAAATAGTATTTTTAAAGAATGAAATTCATAAAGGTATGAATAATTTTTATGTATTTTATTTTAGAATAATGATTTTGCAACGACTAAAAAAATGTAAAAATTGTCCAAGATCATTTGTTTATGACTATAAAATTTAATTATTTATTTCAATATTCAATTCTTACCTCAGTTTATTTTAATTTTGTTTGTTTAATGACTTGTATTATTTTATTTTTTTTTTAGGAATTCGGTACTGAATTAGCAGCGTTAAATTGTACAAAGATTAATTGTCACGGTCGCATTCTTTCTGTTAATCCATTGGACAAAGCAGCCGTTTGGCAGTGTAAAGTGTGCTCAAAATTGGTATCGGATACTGAAGTTGCTATTTTGCATAAAACAGTTGGGTCATTACTAACAAAAATGTACACGTTTCATCCTAAAACTATAGATGCTTTCATAGAAAAAAACAACATAAATAAAAACAGCCCATTTGCAGTCGATTTAAAACTTCAGTTCGTTTGGAAAACTAATAATTCAAGTATGCATATTATAATGTAATTTTATTTTTCATTCATGTATGAAAATGTAGAGTATACAAAAACATATTTATATATCTTTAGCATATTATTAGCTCTTCTTGATACTTCTCTCTGTTTCTTTGGTATTCGTCCCTGAAGTGTGCACGTAGATGAGTAGTTCAACAAGTAAACATTATTTCAAATTTTGAATTTTTGTCTATATTATATTACTATGATATTTTTCAAACTTTGAAAATATGTATAGAGCAGTTATGTCCAAGAAAAAATTAATGCCCATAGAAAACGAAAAATGAAATATCTTATCTTACAATCAGCTCTGAAATCTCTATATTTATTTCTCTTTGCGTCATTCTTAAGCGTTAATATCTTTTTTTTTTTATGGGACTAATTTTGATAGACTAGATTCACGTTAGATATTACCCTTAAAATTAAAACTAATTTTATCTTTTTACCATAGAAATGACACTTGAACAGTTGATTTACAAAGAAAATTCGTGTATCGATATTTTGAATCTTATACAGAAACTTAATCTAGGAAAATGTCGTTTAATGGGTGAGCATATTAATTTTTACTTAATATTCAATAGTATAAACTCGTAAAAAAAAATTAAATAAAGGTTTAGTTAACAAAGAGTTATTCGAAGTGATGAACGAAAAACGAAAACGTTATTCATGGGACCCACAAACATTACAAGTGAGTGTAAAACAGGGGTAGATCCAGAATTTTTTTGGCGACAAAATCAATTTTTTAACTAATTTTATTATTCAAAATGGCTTTTTTTTAATAAGTGGTGATAATTTAAGAGAGTCACCCTAAGCACTTCGCTCTGGATCTGTCACGATTTAAAATATTAGTATTATTTAATATCGTTATTAATATTTTACCTACATCATTTATTTATTGTGTAGGTATTTGAAAAAAAGATGAATATTTTGAAGGAAGAATTTACAACCATTTTAAATGAATCAATTAGATCTATAAAAAACGAAGAATAACCTTCATTGAACTTAAATTTATTTCAATTTTGATGTTAACATTTTGTAATGAAAAAAACACGATTAACTTTGACTATTTAAGACCATATCTATAGTTAATTCTTATAAATAAGCTGTACTTAAGTTATTCAGACAATATATCTAAAAATAGATTAAATAAAACTAATTCATTAAAAATTACTATAAATACGATTCTTAGACACGCATTAATAATTCATGAGACGTATTATTTTAAATCCTGTTTTATTAATCTACTGCATAGACATTTTAATTGTTAACATTAGAAATTTGGTTTTCAAAAATGATTTATTTAATTTCAATTTAAAAAATTAATAAATATTTTTAAAGGGATATAAAAAATATAAATGAATGGATGATTTTCAAAAAAATATTTTATTTAACTTTTATTACTTAATAAAAAATGAATTAAAGAAATAATTTTTGTTAAAAAATTAAAAAAAATGTTTTCATTTGAAAATGTATCTTTGTTAAGAAATATTTTTTTTTTTTTTGATATTTTATCAAAAATTAAAATAACTACCCTTATTACATTACAATATAATACTAGTTGATAACCTTCTAAACGTGTGTACCTTAGGTAACTGTCCTATTTATCTATGTGTAAATACAGATCTGTTGATAATGTTGTTGAACTTTTTGTAAGAATAATACAATTTATGCAAATAGAGAGTAATATTAGTATATTATACTATTTAGTTATTTTTATTATTGTACAATAAACATATTTTCCAGGTCAGTACGGTCCTAAATTTTACTTTACCGATTAGTGTTTACCTTATCAATGTCTATTAGTGTATATACAGTTCTTTCAAAATAATTCTTCAGCTATAAATAGAAACTTGTTTCTTAAACACCTATATACATGAAGTTAGTTTTACAAATAATAGTAACAATACTTTGATGAAAACACTTAGATGATGAAACCGAATTAATATAATTCAAGAGATTTTGACTAGTCATGATTTAATCAAAATTAAAAACCCATATTTTATTTTTTTTATACAACACAGCATTTGTTGTTATTTTATGAAACTTTTGTTTTAAAAGTTATTTTAGTTAATAAAAATGAAATAAGTGATCATTTTTACATACTTATATTTCCCGAACTTAATATTCTGTGGTGGTGACCCTCATTCATATGTTATGTGAATTTTAACAAGTTAAAAGTAATTTCTGGCTAGGCCAATGTTGGACGGGACGATTATTATGGCAAGCTTGCACCAGAGACCAGACACCACCAATGAGAAAATTACAAGAAATTCATCGTTCGCACCCTGGGGATCGGTCAGGGATCCCATGTGCCGTGTCTATACTTTTCTACCCACTATGCTAGGCCGACCCCTTTAAAAGACTATTTAGTATAATACTTAAATAAAATAAAATTTTTCGGAAAAATCCAATATATATGATAATAATATATGAATTATACCCCATGAAGGTATTAGACTATTGATGTCATAAACATCAATAACAGAGTTATTTTGTATTTAAGTTTTTTAATAATATTATATAATATTACAATAAATTCCTTGTAGTAGTTTTTTTATGGTAGATAAGTGGGATTTATTATTCCATTTTTATAAAACAATTACCTTTAATGAGAGTAGCAAAAATTTTCTGTTGGCTACCCTACTTAGTTTAAAAAATTATTTTTACTATTTGAAATAACTATAGTTAATTAAGTTACTAGAGTAACTTAACCGAGTGTATTATTTAAACTTCGTAACTTATAAATTATAACGCAAATAGACCTTTTTAAATATATTTTAACGTAACAAGTTAAAAAAATGTATAACTTGTCCAACATAGATTGTAATAAAAGAAGACTTATAGTTTGATAAATAATATTATTAATTATTTGATAAGTCAAAATCTGGTCAATTGGCCGTCTAGTATTTTGACTGGTCAAAACTAACTATAAAATGTATTAATAAATTTAAATAAAATAATGTTGACGCTTAAATAGTGATTGCACTGACGATCATGTTACCAATCAGAACGTTTTTTTGTTATCGCATCATTCAGTGAATCTCTTTTCATATAGTTTATAGATTATAATCTTTAAACCTTGACTATTACCTCAGTACCATTTTTTATCATATAATACAATCTTTATGAGGAAATTTTCTAATTTACCAAAAAAGTAGAACAATAAGTAACAACCAAGATAATTTAGAACGAATTTCAATAAAAACTTATTGATTTATTATTGATAAACTTTGTAAAGTAGAGTCAATTATCTCTTGTTTAATTTTACAATATTTAAGAGTTGTATAATAAAAATACTTGTGTTTTTGGGTTTATTACTAACTGAGATAGTAATTGAACTGAATATTTAAAGAGCAATGGAAGTAAGTACAAATGGTGATTCGGTAGCTGTCAGTGAAGATTTATCATGGGCCCTGCAAATAGGTGATTTGGAAACAGTAAAAGAACAAATTCAAAAATTTGCTAAAGAAAATAGTGTAATTATTTTAATGTTCATAAAAGTTTATTTATGGAAATTTAAATTCTTTAATTAATTAAAATATTTTATTAGTTATTACTATTTGGTAAAATAATTTTAATATAAGTTTTGCTTCATTTTAAAAGTATTTTATTTTCTAGGATTGGAATGTAAATAATTCGACTAATGGGAGAACTTTGTTGCATAAAGCTTGTGATTATGGACATTTAGACATTGTTGAATATTTAATACAAAATGGTGCTAACATAGATGTATGTAACTGTTATTTTAACTTGAGTTATTATTAATATTATTTTTAAACTGATATTGCTGGTAATTTACTGAAAAATAAATTTTAGATCAAAATTTATTGATTAATATAGAATGTATTGTTTGTTTCAGAAAAAAGATAATTTTGGAATCACTCCATTACTGTGTGCTTTATGGGAAAATCATTTAAAAGTAGCTAAATATTTGATTGATAATGTAAGTTCTAAGAATTATAATAAACTTTTATACTAAAATATTTTCAATTTTGACATTTTTTTCGATAGGAACATTTGTATGATATTCTTAAAAGAACTTAATCTAATGATTTTTCCTTGACTAATTCTATTTTATTTTAGACATTTTTTAAATATTACTTAACGGTATTGTTAGACTGGATTAAAATGTATGCATATCAGTATGGTTATATTAGTTACATCAATTTTGATAACTGTGTTACAAACTGTTATTTTCTCAAAAAAATATTATCTATGTATAACATTCTTAATAACAGTGATATAACTGTTTTATATGTTAAAATACTGTTGAAATAAATATTTAGTCTATAAATGACTAACATTATCATCTGATAAGTAAAACCTGTTCTATATGTTCTCCAGAAATAAATAACTCTACGATTATCTATTAATTTACTTTTACAATATTAAAAATTGTATGCAGTTTATTTATTCTAAATAATTTACAGTCAAAATCTTAATTAAAATATTCTAATTTTTATACTCTTACTTTTGAAATCTATATTATATAGCTTATATTGAATTTTCAGTTCTTAATTATAGAAATTAAACATTATATGAATTCATAACTGCTTTAGACTCTTTGGATAAATACTGATTTATTTTGTCAAAATTTACAATTTTGTCCAAATTATTCCAATTGCTTTTTAAATCACTGATTTTACAGTGTATATTGTATTGTACTTAACTAATTACTTGGTGTAATGTATTAACTTTACTACCCTCCATTTTACTCTAAAGTTTTGAAAAAATCAGAAAAATTTTTTTTTTGAGATAAATTATTGAATGAGCAGTTTTAAAGTTAATTAAATTTTTAATTTTAAATGAGCAGATTGCGCAACATGGAAAAATTTTCATCTAGGTGTTTTAGTAAAAATAAAGTGTCGTTTTAAACAGTAATATAACACTATCTAACACTTAATATAATATAACACTTTATAACACTATCCCTCCTCCCACCTTTTCCTAAATCTTAAAATTCTATTACTTTAAAAATCACTTGATCAAATATTTTATCTAAAGAAAAAACTTGTTTAAAAATAAAAATTGATCACGAATATCAAAGAAAAATATAGGTTCTAATAAAAAAAAAAAAAAGGTTTTTTTTATTATTACAGGGACCCATTAAGGGTATTAAAGTTTACTAGTACATAAACATATAAATTAATATTTATACAGATGATTAAAAGAGAAAAATTCCAGTTTTTATTTAATTATATGGCAAATGGTTATATGTGGCGCGTAGGAAAGTTAATAAATAACACTGTATATTAGAATGAAAAAATGCAATTTTAAAGCTTGAATGCTGAAATTTTTATAACTTATTAAATGGATACAAATCTAAAAGTAATTAAAACTTTCATACATATGCAAATGGTGCAAAAATTTTCAATATATTTTAATAAAAACATAAATTGTGTATAGGTTATTTTTTGTCTAACAGAACAATAATTATGATAATAAAAATGACTGATTTGTTTACTCAAAAACTATTATTTTATTTTATTCTAGTTAAGTACAAATAAAACTACTGTATTTTGGTAATTTTTTATTTTCTATGACCATTAGAAAAAAATTTAAGTAAATTTTATTATAAATAAAAATTGTTACCATAATGTTTGTTCACATTTTACTTTAATACAAGATTGGTAATTACATTTCAGAGATACTTTTTTCATTTGAATGAAAAAATTGTGTTAAATAAAATTGTAAATTAATGTATTAAAACATAGTGATTGAAGAAAACATTCAGTATATTTTAAGCAATTTAAAAATTTAGAAATACTTATAACAATTGGCTAAGTGAATGATCAAATAAACTAATATAACTCTTTATTATTTACATTAACTGTTATTATTTGTTTTAAATAGCAGCTTGTTATTGCTTCTCAAGTAATAACTTTTATAAATCACTGTTACTGTAAATTTTTCCAATCATTAGCTCATATAAATTTTATTATAATTTTCAACAATCCCTTTCAATAATCACAATATGTATAATTAAAGTAATAATATTAAACAGGTGCTTTTTATTGCTACAAATTCATGAATAAATTTCTGTATTAAAATGCTGAAAATATATATATTTAATTCGTTTAATTTAATGTAAATAATTTAACATTTCATTACTATCTAACTTTTATGTAGTGTTTTAATATTTGTTTATATTGTAATATTTTTCAAAATATTATTTCTTTTTTTTTTTAATTTTTGTTACATATTTTTTTATAGGGTGCAACAACTACTTTACTTACACCAGAAGGCTTGAAATATTATGAATGTACAGAAGATTTAGAAATGATAAATTTACTAAAACAGCTTGAAGGACAGTAAATGTTTGTGTAATTCTTTAAGTATTTTTGAAAGTTATATATTTATATAATAGTTGATTTCTTTATCAAAAATTTAAATTAAAAAATTCATTTACTGTTTTAATTACCTGTAAATTAATGCTATTGATCTGTATTATTGTTTTGATAAATCATTTTTGTTACAAATTTATATGATTATATATTATTAATTAATAATATACCATCAATAGAATATCTATAAGCTATAATTGTAATTTATTATTGATATTTAAAATGTATTACAAGATCAATATGTTTATCGGTATTATTTTTAGGTTCTTATTTTTGTTTTATTGTTTAAAGTATAATAAATATATTGTGTCATTAAATATTTTATTATTAAAAAAAACATATATTTATTTATTTGACAATAAAAATGTTTAATGAAACACCTTTAAAATATATATTCCTCGTGTTGAACTTTTTTTTTATTGTTAAAACACTAAACCTTATTTATAATTATTAAATAATTGTTGTTAAGATAGTTGTACAAAATATTATTTTATTTACCCATTGGTAAAGTAATAAAATAAAATTATTGTTCTCTTCAAGTTAATTATATTTATTAGATGCACTAAGTTTATAATTTGAATAAATAAATATGATTTTGTTTACAAATAATTGTTTTTATCTATTGTTTATTAATATTAATGCCTGTATTTAATATAAATTAATTTAGTAAAAATTGTATGCATGAGCGAATCTTTAACTATTTAAAAGTAATTAATCATTTAATATGTTGTTTCAATTATGTATATCTTTTTCATTGTTGTGATAAAAAAGAATTTTTTACAAAAAACATTAAAATTATAATGTGTTCATGCTAACACAATAAGTAGATTAAATGAATGTCAAGGTTAATGACGACTTACAGGAAGGATAATAAAACTACTGAGTTATGGTCTGTATAACATATATGTAATTCGTATATTTGCAAATTATATTTCTTAACTATTAACTATTTAAATGATAGGATTTTAGCAAAAAAATGTATTTTATAATATCAAAAGGGCAAATATAGAAAAAGTTTGAAATTAATATCATAATATTTTTTAAGAGTTGTATCTATGAAAATCGGATTTATTTTAACTTTCAACTTGAAAAAACACCTTTGTCACGAACTAATAATGCTCCGATATTTAAATACTTAAATTATCACTAATCGTCTATTGTCACGAATATTTGGTGCTTTAAATATCTGTGACCAGATATTACATCGATCTTAGAAATCCCACCCCATGGTGTTTTTAACACGCTTATATTAGTTTCACCTGTATGTATGTATGTATGTAACTCTCCAAACGCCACGCGTTATCGCATATTCCTTCGTCTAGACTAGACTGTTATACGCATTCACCCCACCCTACGCCTCGCTCATCACACGCAGGCAATACTATTCCTGTATAAATTTATTTTTGGTTATCATACCCGTACACACGTGCGTGTCTTCAATATTATATATATATATAAACAAATTTTTATTTTGACTGACCATTATCATCCGCGTGCATACGGCTTAGGTATATATTCCTACCGCCGTTTATACCTCAGGTATAACGTTAGTCCGACTCGCCAAACACGACTGTACCTAATGCATGATACGTTTACGTACTTAAGTCGCTTTACATGTATATATATATATATTCTAATTACTATTAAAAATATACAGGGTGTTCAGTAAGTCAGGAAACGGGTTTCTATTGTTCTCATTGTTTGTATCAATGAGAACAATAGATACCCGTTTCCTGACTTACNGAGAACAATAGAAACCCGTTTCCTGACTTACTGAACACTCTGTATATTAACACACTTTATTCTTATTTAGAGATATAGAACTCATTCATTCCGATTTCGTCACTACCTCCATGTTCCGGAAGTGGGTAATTTACGCGCCTGCTGCCTTGGATGTGGTAGCCGTTTCTCAGACAACCTCCCCGGAATCGAACCCTGATTTCCCGTTACTCGTTACAACCATGATATTGATAGTAACTACTATCATAACATGAAACTAAAAAGTAAAAAATAAATAGTTTAAAAAAACTAAAAAGTTAAAAATAATTTTTAACTTTTTAATTCGATGTGCTTTAAAAGCGTGTTTTTTTAGTTTTTTTAAACTATATTTATTTTTATTCAATATCATAGTACCACAATAGTATAACACAAACAGATATCTGTACTTATTACACTGTAGTAGCATATTTTATAACATCGGAGTATGTTAATGTTAAAGCATTATCAGTTCGTGGCAATCACCTTAATCCGTTTTTTTTTATACTTTTTAATATTTAACCAAAAATGGCGATAAGAAAATAAAAATTTTACATTTTAGTTTCGATGTGAAGTTGAGAAAATAAATAGTGAATTCTGTGATTTACATTTTTTTTAAGGGTCTTGTGATAAGAATTTTTTAGCTCTCACTGGACTAATTATTTGTGATCATTGTTTTTTTTGAAATTTTAGTAATTTAAGAAATATATCAATTTTTAAAACTGAAAATGTTGAAATCTTTAGTTGTAATCTAAAATTAATTGAACTTTTATAAAAATGTAATTTTTATCTGTTATATAAAGTACAATTATCTTAATTTGTTTGAACCAGTAACTTGCGCATACCATTTTTTTTCTTTTCAATTTTTCTCTTCGTTTGCCAATAAAAAAATTATATTTAATATACGTTAAAGAATTTTTTTGTGGGTATGGGATGAACTCAAAACTTAGGCTAGCGAGAAAATTTCAGTGGATCACTGGTATATATTGGGCTAACATTTTATGATAAGTATAGTCAGTTCTAAGTAGTTATTAAACTATGACAAAACAACTAATAACAATATAATATCTGTTTTAACTTATGACTCATGTAATTTATATAACAGATCAAAACAATAGGTACATTTTTTTATAAATATTCAAAAACTCTTAGATTTAGCAGTCAGGTCCGGATTAAAAGGTCCTATGAGTAATACATACATACAAAGAAAAAACCTATTCTTAAATTCTGTTTAATAGATAAAATAACTTGAAAAATCAATGTTAATTTATTATTATTATTAATTTTTTAAAACCTTTAATTTTTACTTTGTAATAAAAACATTGTTTATAGTTTTTATGAAAAACATTATTTTGGGACTCATTAAAAAATTTGTCGTCTTAAATAGGTATAATCCGGTCCTATTGGTAGGTCTTTATTTGAGACAATATCCTGATTAAGATAAAGTATATCGAATGAAAAAGGGATTATTATTTCTCATAAAAAAATTGTGTTGATCCATACACTTTTCAATAATTTATAGCATTACTAAGTTAAAAATGTAAAAAAGAATTATTTTACAAAAATCGTAATTTTTTATTAACTTTGATGTCTATTTTCACCACGAAGACAAGTCCAGAGGTCAATTTTTTTTTTCCATAATAAACTATATTACATTAGCTTTAATTTAAGATATATATAAAAGTGTCAGACCTTCCGGAACACTTTCAAAAGTTAAGTTGAAAAAGTTCTACTTTCTATATGCATTTTTTATATTTGAAGCCCCCCCATATATAGGGAAATAGTCTGATTTAAAAAAAAAGTATATCCAATGAAAGATGTATATAAATACTACTTCTCATGAAAAAATTGTATTGATCCATACATTTTTTAAAAAGTTATAGCACTTTAAAGTAAAAAATGTAAATTATAAAATCGAAAATTTTCACACAAAAATAGCATTCGGTAGCCGTTTTCACCATGAAGACAAGTCCAGAGGTCAAATTTTTTTTTTTCAAATTAAAGTACATTACATTAGCTTTAATTTAAGATATATATAAAAGTGTCAGACCTTCCGGAACATTTTCAAAAGTTAAGTTGAAAAAGTTAATTTTTTGTAAAAAAGTTACCATTTTGAAACTCTTCCTGTGGGCTCTTAAAGGGTTAAATGTTCACAAAAATATATAAAATGATAAGTAAACATCTAAGGTAGTTATAAAAAAAAATTATATTAATATGTTCATTTTTCAAAAAGTTACGGCAGTTTTTAGTAAAAAAAATTGAAAAAATTTCGAAAATTAGCGATTTTTAAATTTGTAATTTTTTTGGAGGTTTCCCCCATTTACGGGGAACGAGGGAATTTTTTTCAATTTTTAAGGGTAATGTCTTCGACTAGATACGATTTGTGATCTTGTGACGTATCGTTGAAAGAAATCCGTTCGGTGAGAGCTGAGAAAAAGTGGTAACAGACAAAAAAAAAAAAAACACATCATAGTAAAACCAATACTTTCTCAGCTTCGCATCGAAGCTAAAAATTGCAAAATATCGGCAATGACTATGGCAATGTTTTTACTGAATCGTATACGTTCGTGGCATTCGCCGTTTGATAAAATTGGCAACTTAAGCTGATTCAAATGTTAAAATTACTTTATTCGACATAGAAGAAAAAAAAATTGAAATAAGATTATCTTTATATTCTATGTCAATTAGATTTATATAATATTCATGAAAAGCAGTGTACTTCCCTTATAAGGTATATTAAAATAAATTAAAATACAATACTCAGAATTTTAACACAAACATAGCATATATTTTAATTCAATAACCATTTTCACTATATCTCAAACAATTTCTTTTTCGTAGTAAAGTATATTACATAAGCTTTAATTTAAGATTAAATAAAAGTGTCAATAATATCCGGAAAAAGTTCAAAAATGAAATAAAAAAAGTTTAACTTGTATGTAAAAATTGTTCTTTTAATTCCTCTTATGGGCAGGTCAAGTGTCAGATTTTCAAAAAATGTATATCGGATGAAATAAAAATATCTAAGGTATCTATATAAAAAAAACCCAGCACAGGGGGGTCGCGGCACAGTGGTGACGTGGCATAGTTGGATCAAGTATAATGGTATCTGACAGTGATTAAAATCACTATCAAAAATAAACGCTTCGATGCAAATCTTTAGATAGTGTTTAATTTAAAAAAAATTGGTGTTTTATTCCAAAAGCTACTTGATCTGCTGGTTCCTTATTAATATCTCGATTAAGATA